TAATGGTCAAGCATTCTTGAAAAGTGTCAATTCGAGTTTCCTCTATTCGGCTCTTTGTGCATTGGAGAAGACCAGCTCAAATAAATCACGCCGATTTAAAAAATAAAGTCCCTCATCTGATTTTGTACCATTTAATGTGTATGCAAAAAAATTTTTATTTCATCAGAGCTTCACTGCAGTAAATAGCTTTGTATATTTATTTCATAGAAGACAAGGAATAGCATCAATCACAATCAGAAACTTGGTTGTTGGCACAACTGTTTAGGAGGATTGCATACATCGACAAATTTCGGTTTGCATTTCGAAGCGTTTAACATGTTTGTTAACGGAGAATCAGTAGTAATACAATATGATATAATTTACTTAGGTGATAGGTGATAGACTAATTCTAAAATTGAAACTCAAAATGATTTATACCTACCCTAAAAAGATTCCGGTATTTATGATGCGGGAATAAGCACAACAAGCCGTAACACCCACAATCATCTAAAAAGTAACTATCCATCTAGATAAAATAAAAAAATTGCACAAAAATCCGTTAAAGCGAATCACATTTAATTAGGCAATATGTCAAATTTTGGAAAGATTATAGTTTTGGGTTAATTACCAGTCGTGATTAATACTTCTGCAGGTGCACTGAGTCCTTAGGTGCTTCAGGCCATGGTTCTATGAGTTAAGTGCAAAAATAAATTTACAGACACGAAAAATATTGCTAAAAAGAAAACACTGGAACCATATCGCTACTACTTTAATGATAATAAATTCAAAATCACCATTAAAAGACCATATTATTGTGACTTCGGATTAAAAATCTGTTGTCAGAATCACTAGTCACGCATTCACCACGGCCTATGGTTCCCGGGTGCTACAATGCAAAATTCGTGCCACCCATCCTATCATCCTTTAGAATTTATTTATCAATTGCTGCTTTTGGATTACCAAAGAGCACACCGATCGCTCAACCTTAGAACACGTCATTCGTATTTCGTTTGCCATCGTGGTCAAGACCAATAACAATTAAGGGATATTAGTGTTTTGTGTCAAGTGATTCTCAGTGCCTTTGCCGGTTATTTGGTCTTGGCAACAGTTATGGTAGGTCGTTGTGTAGATTATCCATTAGCGTGTCTAAAAAAAATGAGGTTTTAGTGTGTTTTTTGGTTAAAACGCACTTATACGTCTTCATGGAAGTTGTCTAATTTGTATAGAGTATTTGATCCTGGCCTGATAAAACAAATCCAACTCTTGGACCCACATTTACCAAAAACGCCATCGAACAAATGGGTACATAGTAGATTAAGAATAAAACACAACTACTGCTTATCTTCAATTACAGCATCGTTTGTTTTTTGATTATGATTTACTGCATCATTTTGTTTTCTGTCATGTGTTATTTTGCCTTAACACGACAACGCAATTTGTTAAGGATGTAAATCAATTTTACTTATCTTTCTTGGTTAACTCTAATGTGGAATGTATTTTTTTTAGATTGTTCATCAGGCTGGTTTTAGAATTTATCCTGCTATAAAGCTTGCACCCGAAATAATAATATGAGGCTCTTACGACCTAATGTACATTTGAACATTAATATCTTCGTGGTTTTGTTGGGGAAATTTTGTGGAAACGTGTACACCCTTCTTGCATTGTAATTTTTATTGTGATTACACGGTTCAGTCGTCAATTTGTAGTATCGAATATCATAAGTAATAAATTCACGATTAGCTTAAACGTACTTCTATGTGTGCCCATGTTTGGTCAGTTCCTGAATTTGATTTGTTATATGTACCTAGAACTTCCTTGGCATTGGACAAAGTGCTTCCATAGAGATTATCTTAAACAATCTTGCGAACCGAAAATTAATAGAGGTGAAATCAGATCAGCAAGCACCGTTTCTTCTGCCCGTGTTCTACAATGGGGAAAGTATTTCCGGAAAAGTGACAATCTCCTTAAAGAGGGGCTGCAAACTTGAATACCAAGGCATTAAGATTGAATTGATTGGACACATTGACTTCTTTTCTGATCGAGGTAGTCGTGATGAATTTCTCAATCGGACACAAGATTTGGCCCGCCCTGGAATACTTTCTCAGTCATCAACAACCTACCCATTCTGTTTTGACGATGTTGAAATGCCTTTCGAGTCTTACTCTGGTTCCAACGTCCAACTGAGGTGAGTTGACAGATTTGGTTCGTCAATAATAACTAGTTCTGCAATTTTTCGCGATCATTTTTTTAATTGATTTGAGACTATCGTACAGAAAACACGTTTTCTTATATCTCATGTCGTTTTTTATGTCTAAAACTGTCATTAGTTAACCATGCAAGGTGGTTTGGATGGTCGAAAATCTTTTTTTTTAAATTAGGGGCAATCGTTACTATTTTCGTCATGCTCTTTCCATACCACCCAAACAAAATGAATTTATTTGTCAATGATAAGTATTTACAGTCATGTCTGGCTTTTAAGCTATCCTGAGTTTTTCTTCGTCACTGTCTTGTGCAGTAATTTTGGGAAACTAATAGACTACCCACAAGGCTTTGTTTATCTGCTAATTAATTATTCTCAATATTTATTGCAAGCCAAGTGGTTAAGTGAGTTTTTTATTAGGATAATACTCATTTTTATACTACTGTGTTGCTTCTTTTTTCAAATTGGAGTTCGATGTTCCGTCGAATCCGTGTACATATCACATCTTTCTGCACTTAGAAGCGTTTGATGTCGTGTCGTTATGCTTGGGCAATGAAATAACGCGTATATAGGCTTCTTATCATAATTAATATGGTTTATTCTTTATCTATTCATCTACCGAGAGATTTTTAATTGGTACCACACGAGAAAGACCTCAGTTTGAGTTGAATCGGTAGATGAATGTTCATCCCATTTCAAGCCTGATATGTACGCCGTTTCGAGGACCTAGTCGGTTAATTAAACCCTTCCTGTCGCCAAAACTTTAAAAGATTTTGCCATAAGATTGACTAGAATCTTTGAATATGCAATATGCCAATCCGATTCGCGTAACACCTGTTGTCAAGGTTATTTGGCTTCAAGCTTCAGTTGAATTTGCCTTAGAGTGCACTCAAAATAATGTTAGTCGTTTACCAGCCTTGGCATTACTGAAGGTGAGCCCTGATATTCTACACTCAGCCGATTTATTTAGGCAGCGATGTTAGTTTTCTTCCATGTTCACACAGCGACTTGCCAGGGTGTTAGTTGGCCTTGAATTGGCCTTCGGTGAGGCATGCCGAGAAAACCAACCCACGAGAAGTGTTACTGTTGAGGCTTGTCCCATTCCGAAAACATTACGTTTCGTGGTGGTGTCGTGCTAAAACTGTCTGCCTGGTATCTACACAAATACAGAGGAGTCGCAACTTGCCTTTGGTTTTACTATCTGGTGTACGTTCTTATTCCTACCCTTCTGGTTCTTACTCCATTTGGGTTGTTTTCAAGCTAGCTGGAAATTTATTTTAAACTCGTTGGCATGATGTTAGTGAAAACGTTGAGATTGGCTGGCATCTGTCGATATCAGGAGTTCTGCTTCTGCTTAAATTATGTGTTATAGCCAAAGATCTGTCATGATGACCCCACCATATTTATTTGCATTCTTTACTTTGTAGATATTTTTTGCGAGTCACTGTTCTGAAGAGGTTCATGGATTTGACGAAAGAGCATGACATCATCGTGCATTCCTTTTGTAAACCCCAACAACCAGACACGAACATTCAAGTGGAGGTCGGTATCGAGGACAGTCTTCACATTGAATTTGAATATAACAAATCTTGGTGAGTATGTCCACGCATTGAAATTTTGCCCGATTTAAAGATGTTTATGTTCGTATACACCTTCACTTCACGACTCACTTGTTTATCCGCGGAATCTCAGTGGCCTTTGGTTCATATCCTGTGATAATTGTTATCGCTATCCCAGGATATAACATCTAAGCTCCCTTCTTCAGACCACTTTTCATTTTTCTCGCCGACGCAGAAGTTTTGTTCTGATCTCTCCTGTTGCAAACATTGCTACCGGCTTTGATTCACCATTTCATCACTATTCGCACATTTCGTTGGTCGTTTGGTAAAGTGTAAGCGGTCAATAACGATATCGCTGCAATAACGTCGCTTGTTATAAACAAACGTGCACATTCTTAAGTTAATTACAGCATCAGTTACTCTATCACATCATCATTGACGCCTAGACTGTTATCGTGATGTGCATCGATTCGTGAGCTTCCGAACATTGATTGCAATTCGGAACTCCGATGCGTTTTTTCATACCTTAATCAGTGGTTAATTGTTTTGACTCGTAGTTATCACCTTGAGGACGTGATTGTGGGCAAGATCTACTTCCTCTTGGTTCGGGTGAAGATCAAGTACATGGAAGTGCAGATTTTGCGCCGAGAGTCGACTGGTATGGGGGCAGTAAACACCTTCACGGACATGGAAACACTGGCCAAGTTCGAAATTATGGACGGGGCACCCGTGCGAGGCGAGTGCATTCCCATCCGGCTCTTCCTCGGCGCCTACGACCTCACGCCCACCATGAAAGACGTCAACCGCAAGTTCTCTGTTAGGTACTACCTCAACCTTGTACTGTTGGATGAAGAGGAGCGGAGGTATTACAAACAGCACGTGGGTTTCGTTTTCATTTAATACTGTGCATATGGTGCATCAACTTTTATGAGTCCACGAATATTTTGTTTTATCCCTTCTGCAAAACTTGTAACGCACTCAACGCGCCTTTCTCGACGCCTCTTTTCACTGGTGCTCAGGTGTCTCGTCCTCACACTACTTTTTACAAGGCAATTCAGTAGCGAATATCCGTGTGCCAGTTGGTTGCACAATTATGCCCCTATCAAATCCGTGTCATTGATAGACTGTTTCGTTTGATTTGAATATGACCTCCAGTTTGTGACGTCAACCCGAGGTCAAGACTTTTCAACACCAATCTCTATAAGTGCTGGCAATTTCCGCCTCCCGGGTTTATACCTAGTGCTTTTTGCGTACCAGACTCGAGTTGGAGATGTTTTGCAGTTTTTTCCTTTCCTTTTTTGCTTTGGAATGTGGCCCGTTTTTTCCAGAGAAAATGTTAGCACTAAAATGACACGGAAGAAACGTGTCCGTGTCAAAGCTGATAGGCCGTACCGAGGTGTTAGAGTGATGTAAACATGTAATCACAAAGGCTTTAACACGCTATGACCTAAAAGGCGCTGTGGTAATCAAAGTCTTCAGCTGATGCCCAAAGACGCATAGCACATGTCGAGAAGGTAATTGTGGGTATTCGAGTCTTTATGTCAACATTTTTTGTGCAGGAGATCTTTCTTTTCCGACGACCAGACAAGCGTTTTGAGACCCTGATGTTGAGTCAGCAGGCGTTGGCCCAAAAACCACACTCGCAGCCTCTTTCCCCCTCGCCAGTCGCCTCTCAAGGCTCGCCCTCCCCCCCTCTTTCCCCCTCTGGCGAAGAAAACGGACGAGATGATGCGGTAAGACGCATTGCTTTCTTGCATACCTGAAGTGTTTTATGAACGCGAACGACTTCGGAAAGTGCGCTCCATTCTTTTTCAGGGGAAACATTGTTTATCGATTGACTAGTGAAGTCTGTTTACTGACTTCCTGTATACTCGCTGGCAATTTGGTCTTCTAAAGAAATGTGCATCCGTCATTTGATTTGAATAGGTTGAGTACCTTACCCTCTCATTTTACAAAATTAAGGAGAAAGTAGATAGCCACGGTGTTATAGTTAATGAATGCGACTGAAAGCAATAAGATCGGTGACTGGTGGAGCACAAAAGCTTAGTGTTGGTGCTTCAGTCTCGCGGACGAACACGGTGAAAGCGGGACACGATGCATCAGTCACCAAAAGCACTAATTCTAGTGGTGATATTTTTGCGGATGCTCTATCGAAGTGCTTAAAAAGCTAACATTGAGATTTGTGCAGAAGTCCTCCCTTTCGTGGTGTTTCTCTAAACTGCTCTCTCGCTGAAGAGATCTGCTATCTAAACTTACCTTTTAAGGTTGTTACGGTACCACAAGATGACGCGAACGGTGTTCAAGATCGACCAACATCGGAAGGCCAGGTTGTCGTGTCAGATGGTTCAAAAGGGCCAGAGGAAGAACAACGAGATGGTATCAAAGACCCGGTTGTACCCGTTTTGGAGTGTAAAAATGGTGGTGGCGACGAATACGCTGATAATGACGTTTTCCTCAACATCCCGGATGATGACGATGCTTGCAGCAACGACGATGGTCTTTCCCGCGCTCAACGGAGTTTTGCCCGCTACGAATCATCCCGTGACGAAATGGTTTCTACAGCCAAACTAACGCCCCCCGAATCCCCTGTTCCAGTCTCTTAATTTCCTTTCAATTGTGCTCGAACTCATTATTTGATTTTTTCCCCATTTGTAACAGATTTCCTTGACGATATTCACCGCGGTCAGACATCCATGTGCACATGCTAATCGAGATATCGTGACTAAACCTCGATTACTGCTGCTGTTGCGACAACGAATCGGTTAAACTCACATTCTATACACGCACAATTATTTCATATATACGCATAATCCTTTTTGTAATGTAGGAGTCAAGACTTCATGATTCTCGAAAAAATTTTCGACGTCAAGACGTTTTTGGTACCAGGTTTAGGACGTTAGTGGTTATGTCAGTACGAATTTCCTGCATCCTTTGTACGCAAGCAGTAACCCCTGAAGGGGTCACTTAGTTTACGAAATACGCTGCTGTAAGGTCAGAATGTACTTGTTGTTGTTTCACATTGACTTTGCCTGCCACATTACTACGGATATTATTAGATGTTTGTCCAACGAGGTGCTGCTCTCTGTCGATTTCTCTATTTCTAGTTCGACCATGGGATTCACACCGACGTGACCCCCTTTACTACACAAAATACAAACAAAAGCTGATATCGTTGTTGCTAGGTAACCTACCACTTCAATCGTGGTTGAAACCTCTGATTCCACTGCATCTTCGCTACCGCAGTTTACCGGCCTCCTTCGGAGGGTCAGATGTGTCATTTAGGAGGTACGGCTGCAAAGCAGGGCTCGAATTATCAATCATAGGGGTTGCTTAGACGCTGACGGGAAGCCTAACCAACTTTTTTGGTAAACCTACTATGCTTGCCACACGACGAACAAGGGCCATAAGACACGCACAGTTTGTTCACCTTTAGCTATCTGAACACAATGCTGATCCACACCACGACCACGTAACGGCACATCCCCATGTATCCTGTTCAAATGAACTTTGGCGTGCGCAAAATGCCTAATGTTTCAAGAAATGCAAAAGAAGGTGCGAAACCATTCAGGAACTTGAATATTTGGGTTTATCTCTCATTCGAAACACTCCAATTTACCTGGATTGGGTTATTGCCAAAGCGTTTTCGTAATATTTCGTCATCTCAGATGTTTTACAAGTCAAGGTGCGCGCTCTAGGTCTCGCAGCAATGTACATATCCCATCGACTATGTCTCGTCACAAATTGTCCCCAGTGACTGGCGTTGTGCTTGAAATTTTTACGTTGAGACAGTCAGGTTGAATATAGCACTAATAAAATTAACCAATAACTCCTTCGTGGAAAATCGACTAACCTTCCGCGTATTACAAATCAGTGGAGACTATGATGAGTATCGCATGTAATCATATAGATGTCGCAAGAAGTATTTACAAAATCACAAAGTTGGTAGTACATAGAAAAGCTTCAGTCTATGCGGCCACGCGGTCTTGCACACAGACGGGGCAAGCAATAAACCGACCGAACAACGACAGACAGGCCTGGTGAAACGTGTGTGAGCAGCGAAACACCGCGAGGGCAGGTTGGTGTAGGGCACCTCCCTCGCCGACATCGCGGTGACCCTGCGATGACTCTGGACTCAAAAGCGCCTGTCGACAGACGCGACAGACACCCCTACTCGAATTAGGTTGTATGTTAACGCGCATGCCTCGGCCTTGAACCTGGACTAAACGCGAAAACATTTCATGCGAGTCCTTCAGGAGGATGTTGTGGCAGCTTCGACGGAGCTCAATTTGCATCTAGACAGGAAAGTAGGATATCGTAGAGTGCAAACAGGCACATCATCTTACAGTGCCTGATAATACAACTTACTCCTAAGCTACTGACCAAACTGTATAACTTACATACAATCATGGGAAGTCCAGTGAAATAAAATGTTATTAGCATTTAGGAGAAGTACTTCCCTTAAATTCATGCTGTCGTAAATTGACAAACTTGCATACCATACAAAGAAGAAGTACGCCAAGTGGTTACTCAACTAAATCTGCATGAAACAGACCATCGGTTTTCACTTGGCTAAAGTTCTGGAGAGCGGATCACGAAGCAACACGAACCTTTCAAAGACTTTTAAAAAATCAAACGGATTGGGCAGTAGTATCTTTAAGCATAGGCGAAGAACACGAATGGACAACACATCAAGACGACCAGTGGTGACGGCGTTTACACGTGCTGCAGACACTAAAATTGTGGATGTCACACTATTTGATGACGAAGGTTCCAACGTATGCACAAATCGGACAGAAGCGCAGCCACTTTCGATACCGTGACGCACCCTAGCGAAATCACAGATTAAATTCAAATACACTTATAGTTCGGATGTTGAGATACCGAAAGAGAACTACTTAAACTTTGGCATCAGTTATCAACATATCTAAATTGCTATACGTCGCTTGACAAAGACGACAAAGTTTTAAATGCAGTTTTTTTATCAAATAGCTGAATCAGAGCTGAGCGATGGCGACTTGACGATTGCGAACATACCATGAACTGATTTCACCCCGACCTGCAAATGACTTACTTGAGTGTTGTGCAGTAAGTTTACCAACGACTCCTTCAAGTGAGGAATCTCGGTTTCCGGTGCGATTCTGCGCAACAGTAGTGATGGATCAATGCTTTCGGTGCTAGCGTGCTTCAAGAGGGCGCATATGAACGTTGGTTTATCGACAGCGAAGAGGACCACCTGGTTCCACAGCTCCCCAGCCTCCAGAGAGGAGGATGTAGCGCACATCTCTTCGTCTTCTCTAAGCTCGGAATCCTCGTCAAGGCAATCACTTCGATCCCGATCCATGCGTAAGGTACGTCGCTTCTCTGAGTTGTCATAAGCGGTGAAGTAAGGGCGACCCTGAGCTGAATCCTCCTCCAAGCAATAGGCGATCGCTTGAGCAGCAACTTCGGCCTGACGCTGTTCCGGAGTCAACGCTTTGTCACCAAAGAGGAACGCATCTTCAGAGCCCTGCAAGACGGTGAAAACACCTTCTATTTACGAATGTTAAGTAGGAAGTTTGAAATCCGGAAATGGTTAAATGGAAATCATTTAAAGAAATATCTAAATGGAAAGCTTGAATTTGCAATGACCGCTGGTATCTGTCAAGGACTACGTGGCAAAATTTAAAAACTTTGCTAAACATCGTGCAAAATAGAGGTCACTTCGATACTTTAGAGCGGTTTAATCAAAAAATTTGTGACTATCTGCATGTCACATCGAAATTTAGTAATGATGAGAAGACCATTCGTCCTTTTACAATAACGGTTACCAAAATTACCTCCGACTATAATAAATATATCCTGCTGTCATTGGTGACAGCAGAATCCCACTCAGTGGTACTCAAAAATAATCCCATTCTATTTAATGTTTTACAATAACAAAGAACGCAAGCTGAGAAAATGGCATTCAAACATTTCTGCCGCTGTATTTTCTGTTTACTATTTACGAGTGCTTAATCGCCCCGGTGTTTGTGGTTCCTCAAACCACATCAAACACAGGTTTGTCAGTAGATAATCATCGGATCACTTGTTCCACAGTTACGCTTTGCAGTCAGTTTGGATATAAAAGTACCGCCCAGACGCTCGTGGATGCCTCAACCTTTGAGAAAGTACGCGACAAAAGTATAATCCAAATATGCAAGGTTATGCCAAACATTTGTTTATATTACCAACATAAACTACTTGTCGGTCAGCCAGTTTTTCATTTCAAAACTTAACATAAAATTGGGTATTTATAAAGCCCTACTTGCGTCGCGATGATTCCAAAGAAACAAGTTAAAGGTGGCTGACTGGGCATGTTATTCTAGGTCACTCTGTGAGCCAATGCTGCAACATGTATGCGTATAATATTACTGCGCACTTGTCTCTTGCCGAAGTTATTGGCTGTGAATTGAATAAACCAAGCATAGTAAATTGTGGGGCTGGTGTGTGATTAGCTAATATGAACATCACCATACTTCGACTTAGTATTTAATCTCCTAAAGGCCAAGAGCGAATGGGGATAAGGGAGATGAGTCAACACACCACATGGACGCGGCAGTAAAGAGAGTTGTCTACTGAAGGAGCCATTCACACAGGGAGGTGCAAGAAACAAAGGTTACTAATTTGGCCTCAGATGTTGCTTTTAAATTAAGTGGGTTTACTGCTAAACCACCGCGCTGTGTTATCTAGTGGGTGGCTGGACGACTGTGCAGAAGACTGTAATTTCACCTTCTCCATGAGCAGTTTCAGTGCATCCTTCCGGCGACCGACCCTGGTCAGGAGGTAGACGGTTTCGGGGACGTAGTTGAGCGACTGACAAAGTGCTAGGGCTTCATTGAGGGGATATTGGTGAGTGGATCGGAGGAAGGGAAGTAGTTGATCGCGCGCGTAAGACGCGTACAACTTCACCAATCGATGCACGTGTGGAACAGCTGCCTGTGGATTCCGCGTGTTGAGGGCGTCTAGGTACTACGAAGGTCGGTAAAATGCACACAGATGAACGCGTTAATTATCAAAAAGTGAGAGCTAGCCTTACGCAATGGCAGAAGCTGCTCAAGAACGGTTTAGCCACTTAATGGCTAGCAAAACGACGAATGACGACTCCAGTCCACTAAATGTTGGTAACTGATTTGGGTTTAAGGAATGAATTTTACTAAAAGTGGATGGTATCCACGAAATATACGGAAATAAACGAAGTTATCAGGACGACAAAATGGTCATTATATTGACATCAGGTCAAACATCTTACTTTGAAAAGCAACATTGGTTGAGAATCGAGTTCCTGAACGACGAAATCGACCTAGTAACACAAAAAGAGGATTATTGAAATCAAGACTTCTTCCTGCCATTTAACAAGACGGAAATGCAAGTCCAACTCACAGGAAGTTCCCGCAAGCAGTCAATCATTAAGACCAGAGCTCTTTGAATGTCTATTTCAAATAGAGCAACGATGTTTTTGCGAACTATAGATCCGAAACATCCACCTTGAGTGCCCGGTAGTTGGCGTTGAAGAAGGTCGTAAACGTCGGGATCTTTTAATTTTATAGAAATTTCAAGGCCTTTCTCAGGAAGACCGACATTTTCATAAAGTACGACAAGCGCGCGCCATAGAGCATGCATTTCGGGGTCCTGACTAGCAGTCGTAAACACATCTGCAATGTAGTAAGCAGCAGTAAGAAAAAATAAACTCACACGGAGTTAATAAAACCTAAATCAGTAAATACCTTGGTGGGAATACGAAGACGTTCGTTCCTCGACTGCTGCGATAATAGGATTAAGGGAGTAAAGTCTACTACTGGGAGGCCAGTCCTTGAGTTTTTGTAAAAACTTCGATGGAGATTTGGATAAGAGATCAATAAGAATAACTTCGTAGGTGGAAGAAGTGATCAAGTTCTTTGCGGTTGGTAGGTATGGGACAAGAATCTAGGGAATAAGGAGCATTATGGCCATGACTGAAATGAGCACTTCATTACAACTAAGCACCGTGCTGGAATAAATTTAACGCCTAACTTACATGCAACTGTCCAAGATGGAGAAATCGGAAAACCTGGTCCTCCCAAGACTTTTTGTCTGTCAGGATGTTATTGCAGAGGCGTGCGGCGCCAAGGTAATTCTCCTCCTCGATCAACTTGTCCAAGTAGGTCATTCCAAGTTGCTATAATTAAGAAGGCAATTAACCACCACTACTAACGTCCACTGCAAATAGCGAAAAAACTTCTGAAAATATTATTGATAACATAGATCTGGGCTAAAAAAGCAAACTCTCGTCCATAAGAGATTAAATTGCGCAATCAAAGGTGACTTTATTTCAAGTACATTGGTATACTGGAACCTAATAATTTATGTTATCAGAACTGTACAACACAAAATTGCAATGCAATTGCCCCTCGAGCCGTCTGGGTGAGCCAGATCGAACACTACAGTTCACATAAACAGCCCACAGAAAATAATTCGACTGTACAGTTGCTAAAAGTTTCGCTGCAAATTGGTGAGTTGCGAATTCAGAATCCTGTCCTTTTAGTGATTGACATGTCTTAATTGATCCCCTAACACAACGCTTTATTATGAGACTTTAGTTTAATTCGTTTTTTTGGGAAGAAAATTTGTGGGAAGGAGCAAAATTAAGTTGTAGCAAGCAGCGTAAAACCAGCCCGTAATTAGAATTTCTGAGTTCAAATAAGTGGCTAGCTATCGTTAGGACGACCACTAGGTCTTGAAATCGAGTATATCAGGAAAGTATTTTGATTAAGGATTCATACAAAGGGACCCGTTAAATCTACGTAGCTTAACAGCGGTTTTACCACTGCTAAAATGCATAGTAATCAAGGCACATTAGTTCGCCGATATGGACGTAGTCATCCCGGAGTGGTCGAATCAGGGCCAGCTTCGAATAGAATGCTAGGCGCAGGGCTTTAAATTTTCCCTTTAAGGCAAGCCTCTGAGTAAATGGTAGATTATTCAAATATAAGTGCTTGCCTTCAGCTAGAATAAAACGGCAGACGAGGCAATGGAAAGTGATGAAATTTTTGTAAGGATGCTTCTCAATGTATGCCATTTATCGGAAAAAAAACTGGGATTTGGTGACTACTTAGAGCTTTCAAAATCCGAAACTTTTGGAAAGTATTTATCAATGGAATGGCAACAAATGTGGCGCCAGTTGGCTTTTTCTATATTGTGAGCACAGCTCAATTTCGATCCTAATAAATCTCGGAGGTAGGGTGTTAAAAAATAGCCAATTTGCAGCAGAAATCAAGCAATCACGTATTCGAATTTTCATGGCTTTGGTTTTGAATGGCTTAAAAAAACGTTTAGCGTTCTTTAAGTCCGAATCCAGGCAACAGCGAGAGCCGAAGAGAACCATAAGTTACTGGTTGAGTTTAATTTGAAAGAATCGTTCGCAAATCAGAAATGCGTAAACAGCCTGACTTAGTGGCCTTCTGCCGTAAAGGTAATCAACTTAATAAATTAATAAAATGGCTTTTGGTTCTCAACATGAATGTTCCTCTATTTGCTTTTATACATTTCAAAATACAAGATCGGGAAATCTGAACAAAATTCATCGTAAGTTTTGGCACATCGGTACCACATTCAGAAGAAACAGATATTTCCGTGTCTAAATATACCTCATTTCTTATGCTGACAATAGCGAGGTGACGTTTTGTTAGCAAACAGGAGAATAGGATTATACAGAAAATCAATATGAAAAAGTCGTGAAAATGAACATAAAAGAATAATCCTACAATTTCAAGGAATAGTCGGGAAGTTACTACGACTAGAACGTGACATTAAAGAAAAAAAAACCGCAAAAGATACCCTTATTATTATAACAGATCTATTCACAGTCGCATAAAAAAACTATGGACTAAAGCAGGAGTTTCCTACCAACTGACATGTGGATAAAAACAAGACAAAAACAATAATGGCATTATAGAAGGGCAGCTACTGTTTGATGAAGACAACAGAATGACTTAGGGCAAATAGCAGACATCTATCAAAAACTGCCAGGTCGGTGCAAAAGCCACGGTCGCTTGCGCGACTTTACTTCGGAATACAGAAAATCACGAGGATGATAATACCTATTCTTGAGTAAAATCTTCACTGAAATTGGTGGGGTTTAGTTAATGTGACTTCCGAAACTATAGCAGGCGGCATTATTTTAAAAAAAAAGTACTATTTTAAAAATGACAATAAAATCAGACATTATTCTTACATTAACCTGGTACTTTTAGACGAAAATATCCCAAGGTCACAAAAAAGGAATGCCTATGTTGCGTATATCAAAATTTTCCAAAATTATACATTCACGAACAGCCACGAACTTTTTAGAAAAACTCGAAAAGTCATATTTCAGCTAATTTGTCATCTCACACCTCATTAGTTCAATTTGTCACGGCTGGCCGCTAGAACAACTTTGTGAGTTTCTCCAGCTCCATTCACGCCTTTCTTTCTTTCTTTCAGGTGGACGTATTTTGCCATTTTTTAGTGTAGTTTGTCTTCTAGGAACACAACGACATATTTAAGCGCTATCGAGATTTTATGGTTTGGGTGGCTATCGGCTACGGTGAGCCAAGGACTCGGTATAAATTGCGTAATGGCAACCCAGAGGGTGCGGGATTTGCCGATGTTTCAAACCAGGAAAGTGTCCTACGTAAGTAGCAAATGCCCACTCACTAGTGCATGTACAAACTCTTTACTGCGGAAGTAGAGAGTGTAATCTTGACAGCCTTCACCGAATAGCCTTAATTTTAACATAATTTAAAGCTTGTTCGATATCATAAACAACCCAAGAAAGCGAATCTCACAACTCCCTTTGAGTGCAAATACAATGACGTTTTCAACACACCAGTTCTGAACACTTGAACTTCCTTGTACGACGTTCTGCGACCATCTGGGCTGTTAGAAAACTGGTACTATTTGTGCCCAACCATGTGCGTCGAGTTATGAACGACCACTGCAATTTGGCAGTGTTGAGATGCGCATCCAGTTGGCTTAATCCACTTGTTTAGCATCTGAAACTCACAACAACGTTAAAACGAAGACGACGATCAGCGATACAAGCCTTTAAACCAACTTTCGTCGAATCCGTTTCCTTAAAAAGTATAAAAGTTCGACTCTACCGAGAACTTGTATTTTGGTATTTACTTGGTTTGGGGTTGCACTTTCAGTGGATTATCGATTTTTATTTCATTTTGTCCGAGAATTCGATCCGCGACGTGAGGTGATGTGTTGGTCTGACAAACAAAATCAATTTACTGCAGCAGAACTAAACAGCCGCGAATGTGGGCGTTGGAGGGTCCACCTTCTCGATTGATTTAGGTAAACGCCTAAACTACAATGTATTACATATTTAACAAGATTAGTACAAATGAGCCGAAATAGTGCCAATTTAGACGAAGGAAAAGTTCCTTCCATGAATTTTGATCCGCGATAAACGCTATCAAATTATCGGAGATCAGAATTCAAACAACACATGGATTTAAAAACTGGTAGATAAGCGTTTAAATGGAAAGTCATTGGGAGTATCGGACATAAGCATGACTAACGGTTGCAGAGACATGTTTCACAACTGAGTAAATTTGATAGTTGCCGGACAAACGTAGGAAGCGTGAACGAACCTTTAGTGAATGACGGACCAATTCACCTGAGTGCTCACTGGCGATTTGAAGAGCCCTCTGGGGCAAATCCTGCTCCAGGTACCAATCCACTCGGTCGTCGGCAGACAGAACTTGTGCACAAATTATATCGACGTGGGAGAAGACGAAATGAGTGTCTTCACCAGGAACGGTTGCTAAAAAGGACGAAGAATTGTAGGACACAATAAGCCTGATGGCGCTAACACTTCTAACCCTGTGGATCTGCCTGCGCAGATAAAGCGCGTCATAAAATGGCGTACCGCTATCGAGTGATGTTAAATGTAAATGCAAACAATGAACTAGTCAGTGAATTAGATTTCAAACACGTACACCAAAAATTTGACCAGGACGGGTCTGATAAAAGTACACAAATGCCAAATAAAAAGATTTATCCATGACCAAATTACTTTTTCCTGCCTGATAAAAAGAATCCTTTTCCAAAATGTCCCTTTGTCAAATGGATTCGTACAAAAGCACAGTAAAATGATAAAACCTGAAACAAACTGGTAACATTACTTCCTAACTCAATTCCTAAGAAATGATGGAAATCACCAATATTATTCGGCAGAAAAATAATGTCAGTCGTGCTGTTTTAAAATTATTTCTCAACATAATATCCTAAAGTGGCTCACCTAGTCCCACATCACGACAACTGTAACTCGGAGAGAGATTTATCAGAACGTCCTCCCGACTAACTTCCTCGAACGGATACGTTGCCGAGAGGACTGACGCAGTGTCGGTTTGTTGACAAGCGGGAGCACAGAGGGCCTCCCCAACGTCTGCAACAAGAAGCTGCGGCGGCTTGTTGTGGCTTGCGTCCTCGTCCAGAGTCCCCACTAGCAAGCTTTCGATGGACTTCTGAGGACAGAGGAGCACCAGAACACGGTCATTGTGAGCTGCAATGCCGCAGATCACGCCAACGGTATCATCCTGTGCCAAATCGTGCTGGATGGCGATTTGGACACTTTGTTTGGAAGGTGTGAGGGATCCAGAAATACTGGATTCGGGAATGGAGATGAGCGATTCGCGATCGTCGTTGGAAACCGAGGAACTCCAAGTGGCGCTGAATGTGGGGCTGTGTGAACCGAGAATATAACACACCAAAACTGTTTTTTCCCAACCGATCAAAAAACATGTGTCCGAGTGCCACATTAGGTGACAGAGGCAGCGACCTTCAATTAAACTACAAAAGAAAGATACGGGGGTTTACAGTACTTACCACTATTTGAAGTGTAAAACTGCAGCACGAGGCACTTGCCTACCTGAAGCACGTAAGCATCAAAAGCCAGTGTAGTCTAAAGGGAAGTCACTTACATCAGCCAGAGTCCTAGTTTACTTTCATACTCTTGATAATGTACTCAAATGAAAAATTAACTACAACCTCAATGACGATTTACATATAAATTTATATGACGAACGTCTTTGAACAAGGGAATGAATTGATGATAAGGTCGGTGATTGTAGTATAATTATAAGAAAACATTGACAAGGAAAATCACATTCCCAGAAGGCAAATCCCGGTTCGAAACAGCAAACAGCAAAACGTGAAGGGCATTATGTAGATTTCGTTTATTTAAATACATTTGGAGCGCACAACGTTCGGTTTTCCGCAATTCAAAATAATTAACAGTGACGAAAATGAGAAGATTAAGAAAGGCATCTCCGAGCATTCGACTGTATATCCTCAAAATAACTTCTAATACACTAAACCACGATGACTGAATAACCACGGAAGTGTTCGAAAAGGATCTTAACAACACTGCCATTGAATGCATCACCTACTATTGTTTAAAACTATTTGTGTGTAAAAACGTCAATATGATCAAATACTTGGCATAAGATTAAATGTTTTTCTTTTAGTGTTGAGGATGCGTTTTTTTCACAATTAGGTTGGATGTGGTTTTCATAAACAAAAGGTACAGGCCTTTGCCAATTAATGTCGTGACTCATCTATGCGACTACAAAGTGTGCCAGCAAAATACAGCTAGCTGATTCTGCCATCAAAAATTACTGGGAAATAATTCATGAAAATTTCCAAAGAGTGGAACTAAAAACTTACTCTGAGGTACTTGGCGGTTTTGGAATGTAATTTATCAGTTGGCGCCTGCGCAGATTGTAGACATAGACAGACTTTTTGGGAGAGGTAAAACTGGGTTAGAAAGAGAAGAAGAGACGTGGGTTAGCAGCAGACATGCACAACAGACTTACGCTATCATCGGCCCAGATCAGGATGCTCTTGCGCCATTTGATGTTTTGCACGCCAGACTGGGGAAGGTACAGCTCCTCAGCTGAACGACGACCGAAGACACCAAGGGAATGAAGTGTCAACTGGTCACAATAAATAACGGCTTAGTATTTTCAAAAGGCAAAACTCTCTCCCTCTCCACTGAGGAAATAGTAAATCAATAATGACGTGGAATTAAACGCAAACTCTGTGGAAGCTCATGTTTACGTCAAAGTGCAAAAAAACAATATCAACAAGTGATGGCCAATTTTACACGCCATTAATGGCCCAATGCCAGTCAACTAGTTTACATAACAGTTTGGCCGTATTTGGGCTTGTGCTGATTTCGCTGAACCTTCAAAGGACCTTAGCTCCAGTTGTTTAGTACCAACACCAATAAAACACTGAAATGACTCAAACTGGACACCGCATTACGCCGAGGAATGATTGCACAAATATGTTAGCTTAGTCTACTTCTGGCCAGATGAAATTATTTATTAGCCAAGTATTCACATAAGCCAGGATATAATGACTACAAAATCTCTCATTAAGAGGCGAAGTTAATTCTGTTTGGTTGAATAGTAGTCCTCCTAGTGGGCGCCTCTAAATATCCACTTGGAAACACCATTTCAATTAAAAGGCCACGCTCAAACACATGGAACCAGGCAACTCGCTAGCATGCGACAGTAACAACGAAACGGGATAGATTTCAGGTTAGGTAAAGTTCCGGCATCCAAAAAGCCAACGACGACAAAACAAACGTACAAAACTGATTTGGCTTTAGTGCGATTTAAGCTTCCGATACATCTTGGCCTTCAGACATAAGGCACAGGGGAAAATACAGGCTTCAAAGTTGGTTGAAAAAATGGTGCATGTGAATTTGGGTCCGGTTTGTAAAACCACATGATTAAACTCATCTTTAGTCTGAGCTCCGTCGCTGAAGCATGAAACATAAAAACGCCCATCTCGATTCTAGAAAACAGAAAATGATCACTCACGGCCTTGCCTCCGGTAACAAGCCTCTTAGTTCTGGAATATTCTGGAGATATAGCGACTGCTTTGATCTGGCGCTTCAGATTAATTAACTCATTTAGTTCAGGCTCCAGTAGGTTGTAAACGAACACCTTAAAGCAGAAAAGTGGACAATTTTCGGAGAAATGTACATGAGGGTCTGGCGTATGTATTATTAAGCAGTTACGTACAAAGCCATCATCTGCACAGCTGACCACAAAGTCGCCGTCATCTGATATTCCTATTTGGTTGATTGGGCAAAAATGCTAAAGAGATTTAAAGATCATTAAAAAAAGAAAAGAGTGGTAATAGGAATGACATTAAAACCTACTTTTCGGTGACGCCCATTTTGAATTAGGTTTCCAAGATGATCAAAAATATCTAGTGTTCCGTTCATGTACCCCAGGACAATGAACTGAAAGTGAAGGAACGTGGGCTTACACGGAAGAATGGGATCAAATAAACAGAAACAGGTTACAAGGTCGGAACAAGATGGTATACTGAGAGCATACAAATGAGGACCTTATAATGAGCAGCGACGGTCGTTATTTCAGTTTTGGCGTAGGACTCCGGACAGTCATTTGCCAGCCGGTGAAATTTGAGACTGGGCTCCTCAAGGGCAAACTCCGCTTCCACGCCGATTTCCGTCATTCCTATCGCAGCCAAGTGAAACTATTCACCGACCCTTCTAAAATTAATAATCAGAAACAGAATAAATGGCTGACGGCCTACACGGCTTGCAATCTGCTGATTTAACGTAAAAAAGTGCCAGATTTAGCATATGTTCTAAAGCAGTAGTTTTGCAATTGAGAAGAATACAAGTATAGTACAGTGTGTATTTTTGTCAAAGTTACCCAAAATTACCATTAATATTTGATTGTGAGGTCATATTACACGACGAAGAAAAATCTTCAATTCAATAACCTACACTAAATTCCAGGCATTTGTGAAAGAAATCGATTCAAAAAACCAAAAACAGCAAAAAATCCTGCTTGAGTTTAGATAACCATGCGCGAAAACCACTGCTAAAATTCTTAAGACCCAGAATTAACCAGAATAAAACAGAGGCCAAGTTTCACAGGCGCTCATAGATGTTGCCACTTGTAAATCCTTAAAACCAAACTTAGGTACAGATATAATGCAAAAATTTGCACGACAGTGATGGGTGTAAACTGCAAAAAGAGCTTTACAAAGAAGCGTGGATCCCAGATGTAGAAAAAATAGAAAATTGTGCATTCAAGTGGCTCAAAAATTTGAATAGCCATTATAAATACCAAGCCAGCGTAGAATTTTGTGTGTATAACATAACCCCCAATCCAATTTGTCATCTGTCTTCTTGACTGATCAAAATACGCAGACTGAGTCTTCTGCAGGACAACGCGATTACATGCAAACACGACTTTCCCAGTACCATACCAAATTCACAAGACCAAGCCCCATTTCACGTAAATAACTTGCGCTATATTAAGAAAGAAATAGCTAAAGCCTCAATGTCATTAAATTACATGAGCAAACAACAGCATTAATCCGAGTGTCCAATAAAAGTACAGTAGTTTAATTAGACATACTAGAGTCTCCTGTCAACCGATTTAAATCCGTTTACTTTAGATTGCAGAGTAACGTTAAAGCGGCTGCAACGAATGTTGCGTGGCTAAGAGAGTAAATGTATCTATTTTTCGAGCAGGCATGAATTCAACCCGAACCGTTCAGCAGAACTAGGTCACACGACTTTTACACCTGACGATGCCCAATTATCACGCAAAAATGTATTTCTCAATAATGCAACATGTGGACACGCCTACAGTGACAGAATTATGCCCTCTTAGTTAAAAATGCCATCAAACTAAGCCACTTGATACCACACTATTGCAAAAAGAGGAGATGCATAACAATTTTATTAACACAAACAGAAAATAACAGACAAAATCTATGTATATGGTAGGTATGAGTAGTAAAGGTAAACGAAAAGTTGTAAAGGGTATTTTCAAGTTACAAAAATGTAAGGCAAAAAATAAATCTGAAAACTGAAAGAAAATGCAACGAAGCAACTTTCGGTCGAAAAGGGAAGATATAGCCGAGCTACGCCTTGTTTTCGACCTCAACGGGCAGTGTGTTTGTGGGACTACTAATGTCCCGTTCCTTGGACTCTTCTGGAATCCCGAGGCCCAAGGAAAGGGCTCTGCGTGTCTCTTCATCCAAAGTTGAAAGATTTTGGTATTCGGAGACATACAGACGTTTGTCAATGTTTTTGGGAATAGCTTTAATTTCTGTTCGCAGCTGAGTTTCGATAGCCTTAAGGTGGTAGCAATCATCATGAGTAATCAAGTTTATGGCAACACCGAGGTGCCCAAACCTTCCAGAACGTCCGATACGGTGTAAGTACGTCTCTGCATATTTTGGAAAATCAAAGTTGATCACAACATTAACAGAAGGGATGTCAATCCCACGAGTAAAGAGATCCGTGCACACCAGGTTCCGACAATGACCAGCTCGAAAATCATGAAAGACACGATTTCGGTAGTGTTGAGGCATTCTTGCATGAATGTAGTAGCACGAGTAGCCTAACTCGGTTACCTTTTTCGCTAGCAACTCGACTCGCTGGGCCGTGTTACAGAATATAATAGCCTGATTGATTTGGAGCTTAGAAAACAGTGTATTTAGGCAGTGAACCTAAAAGAAAAGTTTAAAGGTATCTGTTAATCATACTTTATACTTTTCCTGCACATAAGCGTAAAACTGCGTCACACCCTTCAGGGTTAACTCTTCCATCAAATTTATTTCATACGGGTTTTTCAGATGAGCCTTCGTGAATGACTGCACAGAAACAGGAAAAGTCGCGGAATACAGCATAATTTGTCTATCGTCCGGAAGTGTTTTGATGACATCATCAATCATCTCCTAAACCAGAAAATAAGAACGAGTAATGGGAAGTTACATGAAATCCCGTGGACAAAAGTTTGTCCGCCTCATCGAGAACCAGGGTATGGCATTTTTCCATATTCAATATGGAACGATTTAGAAAGTCTAGGGTACGACCGGGGGTCGCAATCAAGCAATGCACGGCGCCATCTAGACGCGCAAGGTCCTCAACGAGATTGGTTCCACCGGTTGTGACCATAATTCTTATTCCTAGATACTTTGACACCTCTGTTGCAATTTGGCTAGTTTGGAGAGCCAACTCTCGGGTAGGAACAAGAATTAGCGCTTGCAGTTTACCAATAGATGGGTCTATACGTTCAAGGATTGGAACCAAATATGCTCCAGTCTTTCCTGTTCCGTTTTTTGCACGAGCGAGAATATCGCGCCCTGACAACGCCATGGGGATACTACTTTCTTGAACGGGTGAAGGAGTGGACCATCCTTTTTCGTATATGCCTTTTAGCAGATTCCGTTTTAAACAGAAATCCTCGAAAGAATTCCCTTTCGTAGAGATAACATCAATGGTTTTTAGTCTGTCGTCCTTCGGAGGAAGAGTGAGTGGAGTCGACAACGTATCAGTTGAAGACATGTCAAGCGGTATCGAATGCTAAAGGAATGAGAGCCGACGTAAGGACAATACAAAACAGCTATGCCAGCGCAAAAAATGACGTTTTTTTTCAACGACAGCTATCACCATTAAGAAATCAAGTGCACAATGGAAGCGACCCAAAAGAGGCATTACTTTCCCGCCTAGTTTTGTGCTATATTATGGCTAATCATTCTGAAATTAATGCCTTTAACTTAAATAATATATTTCTTACTAAAAATAACAATTGTACATGGCAAATATGTTACAAAACAAAACTACCGATGATGGTAAAAAGGAAGCGTTACCAAGCCAATTTGTTGACAACAGAACCACCTCAACCAAACAATTTATAATAATCCGAGGTTGTGCATTATGAGATGACTAGTTTCAGCGTTCATTAGCTAATTCCTCTTGAATTTTACGAAAATATTTTGCACTTGGTTAACATAATTTCTGTCGCAGTGATCTTCGTACAGCATTAATTTGCCGATGAACATATTTGTTGATCTCGCGAATTTAGTGACTCTGGTAATGTAGGTCAGATGTTTTATATTTACTTTAATAAATACTTCTTAAGCATATGCTTTATTTAAACATGTTGCATAGTCCCATAAAATTGATATCACCGCTATCCTAATTCAAGATACAAGTGGTGCAATGTGTTATTTGTTGCTTGTGGAATGCAGTTAAGCGACAAGCAAAAGCTTATATGCAAGGCACGTTCTGAACATTGTCATTATTGCATTATAGTTTTATGATCACCAGAAGCTAAATTTTAGCCAGTTTTTAAAAATTACCTAATGAGGATATTTTTAGCATTTTCTCTTGACATATAAGAAGGTTTTTTATGCGATAAACGTCATTGCTTGACTTCACAAAAACAGAGCTCACTTGACATTATTGCTTGCATTAATCTGAATTTAGAGTGTCTTACGAATTATTTGACCATAGGTCCGCATTTTTTGGACCATTTCCTTATGTGAGGCAGCAGGTGGTTGCGTGGAATAATTTCAGGCAATTAAAGTATCATTAGGCATTTCAACGAGGAATTACTTAGTTGGCTTGACTATCTATGAAATATGCTGTGTTTTCGTGCGCACATGGAAGCCACTTTCCCCACCGTTTTCTTTTAGAAAGTCCATTAAATTTCCACTTGGCTAAAATACTAGTTACAGAAAATTCAAAACACAGTAAAAATTTAATTAAATTTGGGATAGTCTACTGCGCAGGATTTTACGAGAAAAGTTAAAATACATAAGTCGCTAAAAATTCGATGAAGTCATATGCAAAGATTACGTCAAATATTTCCTGCAACGTTAAGATTAAACATTGTGGAAGAAATCATAATAGATCGAAATAAATCCTCTAAAATTTTTGAATTATTTGTGATAAAAATTAGGAATGAATATTTATGTTAAATTTAAAGCACACACATAAACGAATCGTGATTCTAATAAAGCAACTGCAAAAAGCTTAAATTACATATCTATTTTAACACCAATAATTCTTCAGTAATAAACAATGGCCCATTCTAGATAAAAACGTTTAAGTGGCCCGAATGTCATTTGGTTCACTGAAAACGCTGAAGAGCAATGAATAAAGTTTGCTTAATGAAAGCGAACTTAGTTGCTTTTATCTTGGTAAATATTATCTTGCTTTTGGATTCGTTAATGAAAATAAAGTCCAACTGATTAGACAATCAAAGAAAAATGCAAAAATTTAGCCCACTTTTCGTTTGCACGTTTTATTTTTGAGTTTAAATAAGGTAAATTTAAGTAACTTAACTTTAACGATCTCCATTCGACTCACTCAGGTCGGTCTGGCCTTTTCTTGTTATCCTTTTCATCCCCGCTGTCTCGTCCTGCTTAAGGCACGCCCATGGGCGTGAGAACAACGCTGACTCTCCCCATGGCCATAAATTTCATCCTCCAACTCTAATCCCTGTCCTTAGTTCTGGCTCCTCTGCATTTCTAAGTGGTAGCATTTAACACATCTGGTCCTTCCTGCTATTCTCCTTTTGTAAACCTGGTTTGTGACTTTGATGGTGAGGCCAAAATATTGAGAATGCGAATGGCAAATCCACATCGGCATTAAAAATACTTCCAAATTGTTGGACATACAAAGACTTATCGATGATTATGAGAGAGAGTCTTTTCAATGTTGATCTAAAGTGCTTTAAACGTCATGGTTTCTGATTGGTATTTCTCTAGCAAATTTATAAAAATATTACGCTCCTGTATGCCTTAATTAGGATGTTGCAGCTCGATATTAACACACGCAAGTGTGTATATATCACAATCTTTAGTTTATTGGCAGAGTCAGTTCAAAAAATCACAATATTTAGAATTTTATGTCAGCAATAAAAAATTTTGGACCTTTTTACGTACCTGTTGAAATATATTTTAATACAACAGAATAAATTAATTGATTTTTTCCTTTGACGAAAAGCCTAGCCCTCAGTTAATTGAATGCTTGTTTAGCTAAGGTGCTTAGTCTGCAAATCTTTTAACTATATCGCTAAAGGTTTTTCTATGAATTTGGTACGAACTGTACCGAAGGACGTGACAAACAATGTGGTGGAATTACCACGACGAACACCACAGAAATGCCAGCGGCCAACAGAGTGTATGTCGGTTTCACTGATGATAAGTTTTAGTAATTTTACGACGCCCTGCGTCGGCGACGCCATATCACGGACGCCGTCCGCCAGACGTGTCGACTCCACCAGCGTCGGATTACCTTGAGTTCAATCAACTCAAAGACATCCTTCTGAAAAAGAGTGGAGTACTTTGCTATAACTTTGAGGTTCGTAAATTTGATTCCACATATTTATCTCGTAGAGAATTACTGCTACAAAAGATGATTTCATTGACGAGGGCCAACTTGGGGCTGGTACTTGTGGTGTTGTTAAAAAGATGCGACATAAGGTGAGACGGGACCTCGTCATGGCTGTTAAACAAATGCATGTGTCGTCTACCTGTGCTGTAGAAAACAAGAGAATTATGGTTGATTTGGATGTTGTTACGAAATGTGTTGGCTGCCCAAATATCGTAAAATGCATGGGTATTTTCTTCTCAATGGTAAACTGGTATTTGATTTTACCGTTTTTATGAAGTCGGAGGTTTGGATTTGTATGGAAGTAATGTCGACATCTCTCGATACGTTAATGCGGGACACAATTGAGCCGTTTCCGGAGTATGTCCTCGGAAAAATAGCTGTCTCGGTATGTTTTTTTCACACTCTTACTTTTGCAGATCGTAAAAGCACTTGACTACCTGAAGAAGGAGCATAATATGATGCACCGAGGTACTTCATGGCTAAATTTTTATTGCTTTAGATGTTAAGCCATCTAATATGCTTTTAAGCTCTGCCGGTGATATTAAGCTCTGTGATTTCGGAATAAGTGGACAGCTCAAAGATTCAATTGCAAATTCTAATCAACTGGGTTGCATAGGATACATGGCACCTGAGCGTCTCGAAAAGTTCAAATATGACGTCCGTGCTGATATATGGTCTCTCGGAATATCACTGGTTGAGCTTGCTCTTAAGTCTTTTCCATACAAAGGCACGCAATTTGAATTCGCTATTCTCAGTAAAATTATCGAAGAGCCTCCACCAAAATTGCCTTCTGATGGGCGCTACTCCGCCGAGTTTTGTTCTTTTGTAGATAACTGGTAAGCGTGTTACCTATTTACCTTTTATGCGTTATCCTAAAACAATAGTTTTATCCAATTCTGTTACCAGTTATGTAATTACGGTAACATTCATAACTAATCGATTTTTAGGGAAATATGTATGATGTCCGCCTGTCTAACTTTGATAAAATTGTAGCGCTCTAAATGAATGAACTTGGAGTGTAAAGTAGTCATTTGATGGTGGCCGAAAACTTGACACGGCTAGTTTATCTGAAGCTAGGGAATTGTTCTGAGTAAAAGAAACTAAAATAAAGCATATTTGTTGAAGTGTGACCTTGTTTTTCATCACATGCTTCTATTCATCTCGCCCCTTTTAAGTGTGTACCTCGGATGTCTTATGTCAAAGCTACCGATCCCAGACTTCTACTTGTTTGCACCTCTATTTATGCTTTTCCGCACAGTTAAATCTATATTGAAAGCAGACATTTTGCCATGGGAAACCCTCTTAGTTATTAAACGTATTACATTGAGATAGTTTTGTCATGTTCTAATGTCTAGTCTAATCAAGGATTATGCTCAACGCCCCAAGTATGCCGCTCTGCAAAAAACAAAGCTCTTCCTCACATACAATCGGAAACCCTTTGATGTTGGTGATTGGTATCGTACGGTTCGCCTCAATCCAACGGGTAATCAAATTGAGGGTCGTCATTCTCCAATCTCCCCGGCCTCTTCTACGGTCACCTTAAGTCCAGACGGGTCGCGAAGTTGGTTAGAGTCGGAGATAGACACTCGTCGTGGCTATCAGCGGGAGACTTCATTGACTCGACGCAGCCCGGCTCCTTTACCGGTGGATCCTCCACCACAGCCTCCAAGGAAGGAGAGTGTGTGTCTCACTTTTCAGAAGCCATCGTCTGGTGGTTCGCCGAGATCGCAAACGCTTCCGCCGCCTGGTGCCTTGCCTATTAGAAGCGCGTCTCCGCTTCCAGTTCCTTCGACTCCTGAGATACCTTCTACATTGGGTGCTAACTTTTCCAGTAAGTACCCAGAAGTGTAATTGCTATCGTTTCACATTCATCACCCTGATTCCTTATACACTTTTCAACTTTTAATGTGCCTATCAGTGAGTTATTATTAGCCATGAAGGCGTTCCATTGTTCAATTTGGTACTCTTCCACTTTCGTGACCACAGACAGAAGACGGTGATCAAGACAAAAGATGGATCACAATCTGTTTACAATTATTCGTTCCTTGCAGCTGTTTTCGAAAAAGCCATAGTATTTCTTTGATGAACAGAATTTCTAGTGTCAGATATCCGTCAGGCGTAGTTTCTGCGCAGTGGGTAATCCCGTTTTTGCCTTACTTGAACGACGTTTGGTGTACGAGGACAACAATACACCAGAAAGCTAAGTTATTTTTGCCTTTACTTCAACAAGATCCGTGTGAATTACCCTCTTGGTGACTAAATACTCTAAATTATCAAGATTTTACGAATTCATAATGAGACGTTTTTTATGCAACGATGGCAGAGTTATTTCACTACTTTCTTCTAGGCGGTGGTGCCGATACTGTCGACAGCGTGGTATTGCGCAACCGTGGTCGTCCGCGAGTGTCATCTGGTCGAAAGTTTTCTGAAGCTTCGGGTGCGTGCATTGTTCCAGCTGCACCTGTGGCAGTTGATGCTCGTCGCAACGCTTACTACCCTCATCTTATCAACTGCGGTGGAAAAGAAGACGCTGATTCTCCTCGTGATCGTTCCACAACCTACACAACCACTTTGCAGGCCCACTTAAACTGCATTAGCCAAAATCTCCCGCCTTCTCCGCCCCCCACCTACTACACCGCCCCTCGGTCTTCCCACAACCGTCCCACCATCCTCCCCATCTCGAATTCTGTTTTAACACCTCCGCGTCAGCACTACCCCACAAAAGTTGCCGCCTTGGAACAAAATGGACACGCCTCTGATTCTCCTCGCCCGCCAAGATCTGTATCGGCTGGTTATAACGGCAGCGGGCGTCGACTGCAGCGTGTTCCAGCCTACCGTCTGGTATCGAATCCCTATGAGGCGACGCGGGTGGTTGATAACGCGACCCCAGTATTTTCATTTTCGCCTTCGAAGAGGGTGCCTACACCAGTCCAACCTGCTGCTGCTGCTACTCCTTCAGAGGCTGATGCACAGGAGTACCATCACCAGTACTTTTGGTATGCACATCAGCAACCACCGCCGTCATCCTGATTCGAATTAAGTACGCAAATACACACTCTTCTTAACGTTTATGCCACCTCCACATGCCGCATCGTCTTTCATGCTAGCGTGCACCGTCGCTTTCAGCCATTGTATCGCATCGCCCAACCTCTTCATCGAAGCGCATTTATGAGCCCCATTTTGCCTGCCTTACGGTGCAACCTGCTTTTAATCTGGTGTATACATCTATTGTTTATGCTTCTCTATCTATCTTTATCCTGCAGCCTATCAACCTCAGCCGTGACCTTAAAATATTTGTAAATGTTTTGCACTATTATTAGAGGTCTTATTTTCACCGTGTGCAGGGATGATTTTGCTAGACTGTTTTGTTTTTTTCAAGATTTACTACCGATCTACCACATAGTGAACCAAATGACGATCGGACTTAAGGGGAGGTCTCAAGATACAAGGCATTAATTACTGATGGTGCTATACCACCTCGGTTTTGTGTTTGTTGCATCCGGAAACCGTGTAGGGTGTTGAGTGGGCTCACGGAGTTTTGTGAGGCTGGTCTGTTCCCGAGACGGTCGCCCGCCCCCACGAAAGTTCCTCAGTGATACTGCTTTAACGATTGCTTAAAGCGGGCAGTGTTTGCCTACGACGTTCCAGTATTTTAAAATAAGATGGAACAATGTGTTTCAAAACCTCAAAGATTTTTTACGGTTGTCCTGGGTGCAGGACGTCCGTTCGGCAATGTGGACCATGTGTTACTATTTCGGAACGAACGACTGATTAGGAGTATGGATAGTGTAGGGATTGCAGGGTAGGGAGCGCTGCGATGAGGGATTCACCTCTGCTTCAAATAACCAATGGGGATTTAGTTTTCGGAAGCTAATCACTCTTTCGTAATTGGCCAAGAGCGATTTAGGTACCCTACCTCACTACTGGCCACCACAAACTTTTGTTTGCCCAAACCCCTACAAGGTTGAATGTTTGCTATTTGCTTCTGAGAAACTGAAACAGTAGTGTGCATTCGTAATCTCAATCGCTTTGACCCTATCCATGGCCATTGGCAATGTCGACCAAAACGCTGAACACATCACAGTAGAATTAGGTTCTAGTTAAGGTGCTCGAGTTAGGTGACAAGTTTGATCTGTACGTGTTTACAAGGGGTTGGCAAATCACGTCACCCAACCATTGAACAACTACAATGAAATCCAAAAAGTTGATAGATAACGAATACACAATGATTACATTTCGACCTTAGGTGTCCGCAAGGGTTTAGTTTGAAGAAATCATCCGAATTTATTCCATACCACCCCGTATATCTGTGCATATTTAATATAACAATAACTTGGGTCGAGCAGATGTTTTACATATTTTTATAATCAAATCAATAATTTTCCCGAGTGTAGTACAACAGATGGGGATAGACTTTGGTGACAAATCTCAACGACCAACACTGTGCCCCAACGAGTTATAGACCATTTGTTTGATATATTGCGTGTCACCATCGATTGCCCCTTTAACAACGCTTTAATTCAGATCAGATGAGTCACGTGCCTCGGTTTTCGGAACAGCTCTACAGGAAATTCGCTAAGCGCGAGCTTAATTTGGTTGAGTGAGAATTGAGTGCCTTAAAATTGTGTGAATTCCCTGTTCAAAAAATCCACACAATCTGGACTGCAAGCCATCTAGGTTGAGTAAATATTTGGTGGGAAGCAAATACTTTCACAAATCCTTTTCATCAGGTAATAACAGCAATAACAAAAAGTGAATTGTGCGTCGGTGAGATTCGACGGCAGTACTTTGCCGCGTGTGCATTAAGAATCCAGAATTTTTGATCATGTGTGTTTAAATTTAACCCCAAGTGACCGCTTCTTATGGGCACATAAATCTCAAATTTCTACAACCTTATGAAATCATTTCTAATGTTAATACTTTATCACCACATTTTATGATGGAATTTTAATGAATGTGATTAAGATTGAGGTGAAGTAACTTAACAAAGGCGTTTTCAAAACATACATGTAGTCAAAATCTCTGTTGCTAATCGAGTAAATGGAAACAATTAATCACAACATTCACATAGACCGCTAGTATGGGATTACTCTGGCAAAATATGTGGCAGGTGAAACATTGAATTCTCCTTGCATCCTCGAGGGATTCACTGTGAGTGATTTGGTGACTAAACTGATTTAAAAGTTACTTGAAGTAGCACGCTCTTGCACATGCATTTGAACTTTCCTGGGGAGCCGATTAGAGGCTTGCCCGAAAAACCAACGCCATTCGTAAACAGTTGTGTCAGCCCAGGCACAGGAAATCGCAGACAAGCGTTTTGAAGCAGCCAATCACGTTAGAACATTGATGATTAAACAAGGTACATATTAGTAAAAACTCCATCAAGTAGAAGATGCACAAATTTAGATGGCCTTCTTTTAGACATTGTGATACAACGCCAAATGCGCATGCTCGTGCTTGTAAATCTTCCAATCGCCAATCGACTTCAAGCTGGCTGACTGGATGTCTGCAGGTGGTATTTTCTATTGGTAACAGAGTCAGCAAAATTATCACTCTTAGTCTTTGATGGTGAATGCACCTTTCAGACTCAAATTGGTTGCCTAAATCATAAGAAAGGTGACACTAAAAGGCGATGATTCTGCTTTTTTGAAGTAGTTTTTTGTCAAAATTTAATGCCTAAAAAGCCATCGTGTCTCAAGGGGTCCTATTAACAGTACTATCTGTCTATCAATTTGACGAGCAATAAAGTACATTTGAAATTTAATGCCAGACTTAAGAGTAAGTACAGCTTTTGTCTTGCTGCCATGTGCTCTCTGTATTAAACATTATTGGGATTTAAAACGCTTGGAAATTTTCTTATTTTGGGGTTTGGACAACTTTGTCAACCTTGTGCTCAACAAATTCAATGTAATTCAATCACACCTTGTCTGCCAAATTGGATTAGGCTTACATAGTGTATGAGATGCACCATTCTACCATAACTCAGCTTACGTTTTACTTGGGCGAATTAGAAAACGTTTTATTCTTTGATTCTGTCCCCGAAATATAAATTAAGAGCATATTTGCTCTAATAAGGAACTTAAGAATGATTTAAAAATCCTATTAGAGTAACCACCACGGTGTTAACAATAATACCCCATTTGATGGGAAGGTAATTCAGGCACAACACGTGCCACGGTTTCTAGGTATTGAACTACTGCAATCATGGGTGTAGGTGTGACCCAGGTAAATCGCAAAAATCACTTCCCTTTCATGTACCTAACACGGCTGTGAACGCGTGAAACCTGTCACACACCACAAGAGAAATTCCGATTACCCCCAAAATGGGGGTTTGAAAGCACCACGTCGTCGTGGCATTACCTTGCCAACGAGCGATGCATTTTAACAGCTTTCTCGAATAAAAAACGACAAATGACGCAACATCACCGAGATTTGTACGCCCCCTGGCAAAATCAACTTCTGACAAAGCCTAATCTGGCCATCAGGCTGGTATTTTCTTAATTTTAAGGAATGTGGTGTTGATTTGGGGAGGGTCAGGAGGCGTTCAGGAAAACATGGACTATCATTCAATTTTTTAAAAGCAAGGGAATTGCCAAAATCACACTGTTATCATTGAAATGTTAGGAAGCCTTCGTTTCAATTTTTTTCGAGATGGAAGAAGTTCCCTAGTCAATAAATGTTGCATAATCCCTGCTGCTAACCAGCATTCAAAATAATCAACGGTTTCAGTAAACAATAATTAAAATAAGTGGACCAACTAAAGACAAGAGAACTAAGAATATTTTTGTGACATAACCTTTTGCTAAATCTTCATTTACATTTCAATAAAACTATTGCCTAGTTAAAGAGTAATCAACCAGGTGCGAAGAATGCCATCAGCGCAAGCAGCCACTTGCGTACTTTTGGTCTGACGTAAAAGCACCGGAGGGAATGCTAACTGGCTACGCTCACCAAATTTGTTAAATTTTGCAAACTAAACGCACAAATCAGCTGTCCAAAATGGCCTTTTTCTGCACCTACACGGGACGCAACACATCGGTTGTCGGATTTTAGCAACGTTATGTGGGGAGGCTGTTCGAACAGTCACGCAGTCTGAGGCGTCTATTGCTGATCTCTACCGATGTTACACAAGGAAGATGTAAGGCAAACGGAAGTGGAAAAAAACCGAAAACGAAAGAAGCGCCGTTTGAAAAGAAGAGGAATTCATCTCCCAATTTTTTTTCATTGACCTAAAATGAAGTAAACTGGACAGATATGTACCTCAACTTCACTTCACCAAATAGCAACAACGACCAATTATTTAATGACTTCAGCCACCTAACCCACGTAAGGATACAAATCGATGAAGGAAATTTTTCGATTTTCAGTAATTTTTGCATAACTCTTCCTGAAAGAATTGTTCAGCTATAACACAGAAAAACGCAGTCATGCCATTGGCACAACTGTCGAAGGTGTTCACTCAATGTGAGAGGGATCCAACATTGGTGCAGACAAAGTTGACGTCATGTGCAAATTACCAACATCTCATTCTTCCCTATTACGACCATCCATTCAGAAAAAAATTTTTGAGAAGTAAAAAGCGCTTTTTGCAGCTAGGTAGGCGCCGACCTTAAATCTGGAGTGAGTTCGCAAACTATTCCACTCATTTCCTTTTCAAACGCAAATGACAAAGTACGGAAAACACCTAATGCTATTAATGGTCGGCGACAAGACGGCTGACTGCTTTAGAACCAGTAACCGTGACAAATTCGACAGTTGTCTGTGTGACTACTGAATTTGTAGGTAACACGTCGCGAACACAACCATAGCAGAAATAATCTTCTTCATAACTCAAGAGAACCACCTAGTTGGGATGAAAACCGACATCCAAAATATGTTTTGGCACAGACACGTACGAATGAGTGGTCTAGTGTACGAAATAAAAATACAATTTCTAGGAAATTATAATAAATCTTGCATTGAATTGAGTAGGAAATATTAAATTGCATTACACGAAGTTCTACTTAACAACCACAGTTAAGTAGATCGACGCGGAACCGCGGTACAAATCACGTTCTTTTGGGTTCAGCATTACGATGTCTGTTGTGGTCAGGTTGGACACGAGTATTAGCACCAAGAGCAACAATTCAACAAATTTATTGTCTAATCCTGTAGTTTTAGTAGTGGTAGTAAGGTTACTATGGGGGAGGCAAGCGGTGGGATAAGTCGTGTTTCCGATCAAAGCTAAAGGGACAGAGAATGGGTCAGAGCGACAGGCTGTCCTTGAAAGCACATTCATGCGTTAACACGCAAACTAACACACACAGTGAGGGGTCTGAAGAAATGCCAAGATGAAAGATGTCAAGGCGCGCATTTGTACACGGGAAAACGACTTCGTGCGAGGACGCGCGCATCACCGGAACAGTTGAGATGCCGCCGCTGTCGGCGTCGACTGCATGTCAGCGAGCATCGACGAAAAGTCGGACAATCGTTGGTACTCCGCGTCATCCTCCTCCTCCACCCCCTCACCGCCTGGTCCGCCCTCATGTTCGTCTTCCGTGAAGGTCGGATTCGAGGAATGGTGAGTGTGGCAGCCAGTGGAATGGCTGGATGGCAGGCGAAGGGGGCACGGCAGCATCTCGGGCATCACGGTTAGGTGCGTGATTAAGGCCTCCAGTGAAGGCCACTCCTTATCCAAACCCTGAATAAACAAGTCAAAATGACCAATCAGAAGAGTCAGCAAGCAAACTGTGGTCTGAACAAACCTTGCCAGCTTTGGGCAAAAAACGGTAAAGCAGTGCAATTTGCTTCGTGCATAGGTTAACATTAGTGGTTTAAATTTGGATTACGCATGGCAGCTAAAAACGAACAGATACCGGCTGCTTACTTGCTATGCAAACAGCATATCGTCAAGCTGATGGCATTATGCGACAACAGAGACGAGGAAATAACGCCATTGTGATTTGTCCAGCAATCTCGGAAGTCAACGTTATCAATCTACTAAAATAATATTAGTAGAATGACATCGCTGACGATGAAAAAAGGCGAGAAACGAGACTCCATTACCGTTTCTATGGTCTTTTTAAATAAAATTGCATTTCCCGAAAGTCTTTTAACCAAAGGGCTTGGGTAGCAAAATATTTACATTATTAAGAACCCTTATATATATATATATCAATATGTTAGTAATCACTTGTACCAAACGGACTTAAAGCATGAAGACTGGGTTTGAGATTAACCATGGACAAAAAAGTGGGAAAGTGAGATAATGAAGGCGTGATGAGTGATTCCGAGATGGCACAATGTGACAACAGTTCCTGTGGCCGAACGAAGTCAGCGAGGCACGAGGTGCAACTGTGAGAATGCCACACATACCTTGAGTTTGACGCCGTGCCTTGAGTGTTGGATGAGGTAGTGGGTGATGCCGACGCAGCTGACGTGGGTCGGCACGCGCACCGAGAGGGCCCAGCAGCCTGGTTGGGTCACGCTGTCGCGCACCAGGAAGCTGCCAGCCTGAAGGAGGAGAGAATACTCGACGATGTGGCGGCGCACTAACACGCAACAACACGTGCCTACCCAACCAACTAGCCTCACGCAGCCCGCACATCCCCCTCTGTCCTGTGGAGAAAGGGGGCGAGGCAGCGGTGGCAGTGCACGGCTTGATCATCTGGACTAAAACTACGAGTCTACGTTTACTCGGTGGCAAATAATTTCGACACAATCGCACACAAAAGATATTTGCACGCCAACATCAAACCAACCATGTCTCCTTAGGTATACAAAGTAAATCGTGATTAGCGTGCGAGACAGATTGTTTACGGAGCGTAACTGAGAGACAGGATAAACCAATGACATACTTCCTCGTGCGTGAGTAATTCCAGTGCCACCTCCCGGGGTAGATAGGCCTGAAACCAGGAGGGAGAGGTGTGATGGGGGATGAGGGGTGCAGGCGTGGGTGTCGGAGTGGGAGTGGCGGTGGGCGTCGGTGTCTCCCCGGTCAATCGGGGCCGATGCAGAGGCTGGTGGCTGCCGTTCGGTGGCCACCACGCGTTGGTCTGGCGTTGCTGATTGCCACCGTTCACCGAAACTGCCGAGGGGGATTCCAGACCTGCGTGAAGCGGACAAGGGGGCTCAGGGAGTGGTGCCGCTTCTCCCGGTGATGGCCTAAAACGGACACCGGCTGCACAACATCGCCTGGACAATGCAAACTCACACACGCACGCACACGCCACCAGCTACCAACATCAACACAATTTTAATGTTTCCTGCGAAAAAAAGACCGATATCTCCAGGCAGCGAAACAAATGACAACCATCGTGACGTGGGTAGAAATCAACGCTGCAGCGACAAACGTTAATACGGCGGTTACAAGTTTGACGAGAGGCTAGGCATTTAAAAATATGGCATTTCTCCACAATGATTCCAACATGTGAACGATCGCGCACACACACACACACACAGTTAATTCAGTAACGTTGTAAGCACTTAAGATGTTTACATTCCTCAGAATAGAGACTTCCATGTAGTCTACTAAAGAGATAGAAGAAACTGAAAGAGGAGTGACAAGAACAATCTACAACAATAAGTGGCAGCTAAGACACTAAGTCTTCAAGTATGCTAAAGCGAAATAAATTTTGTGTGTGCAGTGGTTATAACATCACGCGCTCGGGAGGTAGATTAGCTGGAAGCCTTTCGTTGTGAATTAATCGGTCTTAGGAGACGTACGAGGCGCCAGGGACGTACGTGGCTAGGTCCATCAGAGCACCGGGGTAGGTGACATTGGGCACAGGGCAGACGTCGGCGAGTCGAAGATTTCGGCGGGGTGAGTCGTCGGCTTTCGTGTCCGTTTCAAAATTCCAAGCTGTTTCCTCTCCACCGCCAGGCGACTTGTTGAGACTTTGCAGAGGCGTTGCTACTCCTCGTCGTGCTACGTGAGGAGAAGCTCCCGAGGACGAGTGACGAAAATCACCACCACAACTACCACCACCACCTCTCCGAAGGGAGTGCACCCTGGTAGAAGTGTACAGAAAAATGAGACTATGCGATTACGATCGCTTTGAAGCGAATACAGGACGATAAACTACAGGCACACTAACCAATCAAGTTCCACCGGTTGTAAAACTGGTAGAAGCCCATTAAAGTACCTCCAAGAAATACTGTGTCGGCAATTTTTTGTTGACAGAAATAAACGTAGAAGCATTACTCGCAAACGGGGCACAAATTACAGGACTTAAGTGGTGCACACAACGGTCAATCACTGTTAACAGACTAAAGACGTGATTGGCAAGCGTCAAATGCGTTGGACTGGAATCTAGACGAAAGTCACGAACGAGAAGAAAGTAAGCAACATCACCACCTCTACCAGAGGAAAATACACAAGTAATTAGTGAACAAAAGATTACACGGTGGCACTAAAGGTTAACCTGCCTAACATAGAACGTACTCTGAGGTAAAGAGGCAAAAAATGAGACCACAAATGTCATTATTATTGAATGATGCGTTTAAGGTACGGTAGTCTTTGAAAAAAAAGACGACAAGGACGACAAATCTCAAGCAGTTGAAAGTCACCAACGATTGGCATCCATGTCAAGACACATACTGAAAGCTAAGACATCTTAGTTTGGCAGCTGCAAATGTTCGGGAGAAACACCGTAATGAAAAACGTCTAACACCTTCAAAACATTTCAAAGTCAAAGCGCTTTGAAAATGTATATACTGGAACGAGATCAGAAAACAACGGCGATTCCGATTCGACCAAGCCCAGGGAGCTAAATCAGCTGTGTGGTTGGTAAAGCACTGGCAAAAATAATTCGCTGATGAAATACAATTTTGAAACAAACCAAAAATACCACTTCAGAATGGCAACTGACCTTGGTCTTGGCATAAACAAGCAGTTTGGTGACTAGCTAAGAATAAGAAATGCAGGTAGAATAAGAAAACTATTCGACTGCTTTCTTTTCTCGTACTTGTCACGATGTGATGTGATGAACCATCACCGCTGATTTGCCCAGACCCAAGACAGCCACTACCAACCAACTTGTGCTAGAGTGATTCACGCTATTAAAAGCGAAAAAGAAATGATCTGCAACCAAATAAACACTGAGGGGGTACGGACACAGGGGTAACGAAATCGCGATATGGGAGATCAGCAACAAGACTTGGGACGGGTATTGACAGCTGTGAAAAACAATATAAGCGGCAATTACTTGAAATTTATCAAATAAAAAAAGGTGGTAAATTCAGTTTCACGAACAGGGCAGCAGTCGGAATGTGGGACTAGGGGGCCTAATTCAATGGACTGCACTTGCAACCACTGTGACGAAATCTGCTGCTTGGGTAAGGGATTCCAAAGTGTGATATTACGGTGGCTCAGTAATATTCGTGGATGTGAACACTACAAATTAGGACCAATCACAGTTCAAAAACTACTTTGTCATCACTGATAAGAAAAAGAGGAGGAATATAAATTTTCGACTGTTTGAGTCCACCTGTCGACAACGCGCGATTTCAAAGGAGCATCCAGGGTTTGTGAAATCCAGTCTCTCTTAGGCACAACAAATACATTATCCCAAAATGATCTGCTGAAGCCTTTTCAACTACAGCATAGCATTCTGAATCAATAATCTGGAGCCTATTTAATGCTTGCTTTGGAAGTTATTTCCACCGGACTGCCAATATTTGCCCAATGGTCTACTAGTTAGGCCGTGAGCGTTTTATTGATAAAGCGACACGTTGTGCATGCATGTTTAATCCAATCCCCACGGAATTCGCCCGGAAGTGATTGGTATCTGCACCACGCCACTAGACACAACTACGTTCAAAACAAGCATCACATTTTACCTAAAGTACTTAGGTCTACCTTGAAAGGAAAATGATCCCCTGGGATTTTCGAATTATGGGACTAAAATAGATCAAAATGCTTAGAGCAATCCCCATGGGATTCGCCCGAAAGCGACTGGTATCTACACCACGCCTTCGACGATTCACTGACGGACTGGAATTGCTCACGTGATGTTCCTCCATTTACATCACTGTTCCACGAATACACCCGATTATGATATTTAGTGAGGATCTTGAACAGATCGAGTGGATTTCTTGGGGAAGTAGGAAATCGCACTGCAACCCAATATCTGTGCTTCGCCATCGACGCAGCAAACATTAATTTTAAATTAAAAGTAACGCCGTAAAAAGGAAAGGAAATAGATAAGACGTATTCGATTTGTACACATTTCATCATGTGTAAATAAAACCTACGTCTGGAACAGTTTAAGTATACAATAAGGAATGTGGACATTTTATGGCAGTGTTCCGTCTAAGAAGTCTCAATGTTATGTAGAACCAACTAACCACTCCCCTTAACTGTCAGGATTTTACAATCATGACAGACATGCCAGTTAACGGGCACGTAAGTAGAGCGGCCGACATTTGGGCGCAGACAAATATGAGGGAATCGACATGGAATTCTTCTTTAAGCGATCACGAAAAGAAACACTTCCGGCAGCAAACGTGCAACTCACGTTAAAAGACAACCAGTAACGAGCAGTAATTCACAAACAAATTTGATTGACGCCCTCTGACAGAGATGAATAATTAACGTTTGCGTTTGGTAAAAAAGTAGGAAGAAACACGGCGGTGATCGCACGCGAACCGATTGTGATAGAGGTAGAATGTAAGATTTTGTCTCAACTTTAGCGTTTTCGGCTGGACAACACAGAACGAAACAACTGGCCGGGTCGTGCTTTAAACTGTACGACGTACAAAACTGGGGATAGTGATTGGTTACATATGACTAGGTAACATTGAAAAAATTAAATACCATAGTAGTATGTGTAGATTTTCACTAAAAGAAGGCGAAAATAACTTCTAGGATGCAGGTTGTAGAAAATGAATTTTAGGAATTTTCGCAAGGCAGGCGAGAGGAAAAATGTATGTGAATGGGGTAGTCAGATAACCAGAGAAGCTGAGGAAATGGGAGATAAAAACGAGAATACGCGGAAATACGCATGTTTGATTCCAGTGTCAAATGGACAATTCTGACATTGAAAAAGGTAACCAACTAATGGCCCAACACGAAACACTCCTCTGAAAGCATCTTTTAAGCGTCACACGGAACGAGCAAATAAAGTGCCGGCGAAGACCGTGGAGCACAAATGGAAATCGCTCACAACTTCGCACCGAGCGGGCAAATTTCAGATTTGTCCTGACGAACAGCGGTACTTCACTAATAGATGGCTGACTGAGAGAATGAGGACGACAAGCTCACGACACAGGCAAACAGGAAGCACTGCGAAACAATGACGGATATGCATGTCTGTCAAATAAACACACATGCACACACACAACGCTACATTTAAAAAGAAAGATTTGCGTCAGTGTGCGCAGACACTAAGACAGGAGAAAAAAACACTTCGACGGTGGTTGTTGATAAGATGACTGCATTATTCAAATCCGGCTTAGATGTGCGATAGCTCAATGGTTTCTTAGAAGACACACCACCCATCAGGCGATAAATTGAAAGCTAAAGTTACATCATCGATGTCACTGACAGCTTTGGCAATATTTTGCTTACATTTCCACGAACTGATGGGGGAAATGATTCCAATCATGAACTATCACTTACTATATCGATAATGGGGTTCTGTTGATCGTGAAGCCAACGAGGCAAACAAGCCCATAACTGATTTAACATCGAATTAGAACGATGATGTGACTGGAGATTTAAAATCCATTCAGATGGGTTTGAAGAACAATATGCTCCTGCGTGATGAAGTCTCGCATAAGGTTCCTGGTGAGACGAAATACCAAAGCATGGGGGCCGAAACACCAGATAAATTGACCTACAAGTTTGTGAGACTGGCATTTGCGTGAGTATGCAAACACGCAAGTCAGCCAGGCGGTTTCAAAACGGCTAGGCAACACGAACATAATTGCCGGCTGGCAGTTACGACTGAAACGACGGCAGAATTTACTGAGTGTGGGTGGACGTGGTTGCTCGAGCAAAAAAGCACTAATTCGACGAGAAGCAACTGAGAGCTTTCGGCTCTGGAATCGATTGTAAATACAAACAGAAGACGAAGTATACAAAAGGTGAAGTCGAATGGGAATTACACATAAGTCAAAGGTTTGGCCTATCGAGGATGTTGGACAGCGAAGCTCCAGTCAAGATAGCCAAAATAGTTCGATGGGCAAGAAAGAAGAAGACCAGGGATAGTTGCGAAATACCCAAATAAACCGCACCACCCTCGCACTTAGAAGATCGGCCGCAGCATTCGTCAAAACGTAACCGCCGGATCTACATTCTGCTGAATGTCGATATAGTTGTCCTTTATTCAAAGTCACTAATATTTCCTGCATTGTTTGATTGTCACTGGACATCCCAAAAGCTGACATGCGTGTTGTTAAATCGAAACAACGTAAATTCAAAAAATGTCTTGGCAAACTGACGAAGTGCCCACGGTTTCTGATGCATGTTATGAAGCGAACGGTCGCTTTTTTGGGCGCAACCACACTCGATAACTATGAATCTTGCATGTTAATGTACGAAATTGTGAAATTTAATTGGCCCAAAAGTCACACGAGTTTTGCACCTACAGACGATTGAGAAGGTTGCGAAGCAAAGGCTGTTGAGTTTTAGAAGAACGAAAGCGGAATTTAATTAACCACATACTAAGTGCCGCAGAAAACAACTATAGCGCTGTTTCCCAAATTTCAAGGCGACGCCGACCCTACCGTGAGTGCCGCCACATCATCGCCACCTTATCACAAGACAGTCGATGTAACATAGGGGCGCAGACTAGAGAAAAAAGGCCATTCAAAGCAGCATCCACAACTGACAACAGTAAAACGCACTTCTGACATTTCATTACACTCGGCAAACAACTCCCTGTAAGTGTTCTCGCGAAGAGTGGGTAGGCGATCGCGCTCCACGGAAATGAATGAATCAGCGAAGTAGTCGTAATAACGCTGTCCATAACCCGCAAGTCGTTTGCTTTACGTCCTTTGATAACAAGCGGTGCAATACAGGACTCGCCTAATCGAATCGAACCATGTGCAAAATGAATGATTTCGTGAAATGTATTCCAATATTAAGCACAAGTTATGACAATTTGTAAACAGTGCAGAATCGCTTGACTCTGATTTCGATCCCTTTTCCACGAAGTGCATATCTTGAAAGCAGTGGCTTTGGAAAGAGGGAAAAGCGACAAACCTGACTGGGGGTATGGGCGGGCCGTCCACGCCATCACAATCCTTCTCTACAGTCGCCGAAGTGGGTGGCTCCATCATCGAAGAGAGCTGCTCACCGCTCTCCTCTTCTTCCTCGAAAGCCGAATGGCTGTTGGAGGTGTTGGAGGTAGTGGGCTCCATGGCAGAGAGCCTCTCCTCGGACCTTGGCTGCACACTAAAGGAGGGAGAATTGTTCAGCAGCAGTGCCGAGTCGAGTTGGCAGATAATCTGCGACAGGGGACGCTCTAACTGCCTCTTCTTGCCGCCGCCGACCCCCTGTCTCAAGCGAAACCGAGATGCTGCCCCACTGGGTGTTTCTGGTTTTTTGAGAGGTTGTTTCGCTTGCTTTTTAGCGTCTTCAGCGAGAGAATCGAGGTGCGCCTTGAGAACAACAACAGGACTCGCAGCAGTTGAGGAAATGGGATGATCACCTAATATGGAAAGACGCTTAATTTTATTGCAAACACATAAGTAAATACTCCGAAATTAGAGTACTTTGCATGAAGAGGGCCAGCACACAAGAAAAAGCTACAAATCCGATTTCAAAATAATGCGAAGAAGCTAACCATTTTCAGAGGTCCCCAAATCTAGCGCCTGAAAGAGGGATATAGGAAACTGCAATACAAGGGACTACACCAATCACCTAAAGGAAAATCAAAGATGGCACGGTGTTTGTCCTTGATGGAGACAGAGGCTATCGGGATGGATGGAGGTGGCGGTGCTTGCAAATCCTCGGCGAGTTTCGGAGCGGGAGGAGATTCAAAAAAGGCGACACTATGGCGGATGGGCTGAAGGAGTGGGTGAGGCGGCGCCTTGGGGTCAGAGAGAGCTCGCTGCCGAGCGCCAGAATTCTCACTTTTGTCCGCTTGAGCAGGGCCCTCATCCGTGGAGTCGCCGTTTGTCGAGTCCAACCACTGACGCCGCAGACCAGAGGAAACTAACGAGGGCTTACCGCTAAAGGAGCGAAACCGATTCTGTTGACGGTCAGCTGCACAAAATTGTTAGTAAGAGAAAGGTGACACAAAGACTGCGCTACGCATAGCTTACAACGCATCTGGATTACGAGAAAATAGAGCGTGGAGCACTTGAACTGCCAACCACTTGCAAGACAATGCCAAAAGCGTCAAAATTCCAGACCAAAGGGCGACACGGAAGACCATCAAGGTGTAACGTTAATCGCTTCTGCTAAAACCTAGGATGAGACCGTTGGCGAATACAGGCTGAAGTCACAATTGTCGAAAACAGATCCCGCCCAGTTGCTGGGCAAATACAATTCAAATGCTTGGCAAGACATCATATGCAAATTACTCTCGGAGCCGCGAAAACATTCCGTTAGGCATTATGAAGTTATGCAAACTGAATAACAGGCAATCGAAAAAAATATGCTTTCATCACTAATAAATCTGGCGAATGATTACGTAAATCGGAGTTTAAATACGCCCACGCACAAATCCGTTTGGTCACCAAGACAGTGCATAACTGCATTCTAAAAATGTATTTAACGGGTGTAGATGGCGTGTAGGCAAACGAACAAAGTCGTAAACCGTGCAGTGAAATAAGCGACCTGATGATATTTTAACCATTTTACATGTTCAGGGATCTGGCAGTACTCACGTGCAGGATGGCAGCCGATGTAGCGGCAAAAGGGAATCTATTTCCAGGTTTGAGCACAAGCAAGCACTGAGAATGGGGAAAAGTGACACAAATTTAAGTTGAATTTGGCACTTTGTTTGAAAATAGGCAAAACGTAATGAGGAAGCTGATTGGGCGCAAATGTTTCAACTACTTTCGAACACGGAAATTCGGTAGAGATTGCCATCAAGGAGAACAGGCCATAATTGTGATATTTTAACGTGCCAAAATGTGTGCTTAGTGGCCGCTGAAAATGCGAAGAACCGAAATGAAGGCGACGTGCAAGTGAACGGATTCCGACTAATCTACGTGTCGGTTTCGTGGCAGTAGCGGGTTGCACAAGTCTCAGAAAAGAATTAATAGAAAGGCAAAAGGCAACATTGGAACCCATTATTTTAAAATTGAAATCAGCATATGAAAAGGATGAGCATCCACACAAACGAACCGGCGAGAGATAACGCACGACTAACCAGAAGCTTCGCCTCAATAACAGGGTTACTAATATAATCCTCCAAAGTTTGATCAAGTTCCGGAGCTGGACACATGCAGCCCGATCTCAGGTTTATAAATGAAAACGCAATACCGAATGACGATAATAGGCGATACAGCATGTCAGACAATAAATTACCCTCGTAAATGAACACCCTCACAACGCTCTAGGTAAGCATACGCAGCATAGACGCCGGATAATGTAAGGCAGAACGCAGTGATTCGTCGAACCTCGGCAGATGAAAGGTGCGTTGGTGCCACAGAATTTCCCAGCCCCTTTTGCCGACCAGCACAAGGAAAGTAGGAGGTCGGTCTTCAGACAGTGTGGGAAATTACCTTTGAAGCCAAGCCGAAACTCGATTTCATTCGCATGGATTAAACGCGGGTAATTAAGGTGGTTAACACATTGGGAAATAAAGGAAGGAATGTCTCACATAAAACTTGACTTTACTAAAAAGTGCAATTATTTACAATCCTATGCAAAGTAATATTATTGTAAATTCGTTACTTAATCCAATTTAAATATTTTATGCTATTAGCTTGCACCATTCCGATATTTAACATTTCGGTTCACCAAATTAAACTCGTGGTAAATTTGCTAGAGTTTATCCAAAGTACTGGACAAGAAAATCGAAGATGCAAAAGAAAACCTTACGGATGTTTCATGGCAGGAATTTCTTTAAAGTTCCAAAAAGAGGAACCGCATGCTCCCAACGGGTTTCTTCACTTTGCATCTCTTCGGTCAATGCAGTGTTCTCTCGGCAATTACTTATTCATCCTCCAGATTCTGCGCCAGTAACACAGCTTTTTCACAGCTTATTTAACTGCTCCAACTAAAACGTTTCAGTCGATCGAAGACAAGAGATTTACGTCTAGAAGATTTTACCGTGGTCTAACTATAGCACTCTGACTAAAAATCAAACAACACACGCGGGGAAGAGGGTCATTGACCATGATTGCCTGTTCATTTTCTCTAGAATGTAACGCATCAACAGATCTAGTGGCAGCTCTAGCTTTAACGGGGCCAACTTGATGGGATAAAAAGTTGTTATCGTTGAAGGAACTTTGAGATTGCTTGAGAGCATCAACCACAAAAAACCAGTAATCCGCCTAAGAGCGCTTAAATGAATTTAATAGTACAAGTTGCAAGGAGTAATAGGCAACGTCTACATTTGGTAAAGCTATTTTAATATCTTATCGACAAGTGACAACCCAGCGATTACCAACAGGACCAGTGTAATAAGTACTTTTTAAACGGTACACAACACTGGACATATTCAAAAGTAGATTACAGTAAAATCAAAACAAAGGAACCGAGTGGCGTGGTACGGTGGTCAGACCTTCAGCATTGTCTGACAAAAACATTACCTGCGGTGATTCCAAAACCAGATATGTTAGGTACACACAAAATCTTGTATATCTGGGGCGGCACACATGCGCAGAACAATTGAAAGATGAAGAGGCACCGTAGCACACATGTGCACATTAACCATAACTCCTTTTTTGATACGCCACACCACGAATATGGAAAGACGTGCGGTTTGATGTCGAGGCGACTTGGGAACAGTTGCGGTCACAAAGTGGGGTACTCAACGAGGACAAGGCAAAATATGCCTCAGTCCATAGCGGAACGTGGTGTGCATGCCTGGAGAGAACGCTAAAGAATGCGCACCCAGGTATGTTAAATTTCCATTACAACCGGTACCACGATTGAATGACGACGAAAGTGAGTTTCTGAGAACGCTGACTACATAATTGAGGACAGATTAAGTGATTCGATCGCAATACAATCTGCGGCTGAATTGAACAACGAAGGTTCTACAGAAAGAGAGAAGAAATGCTGAAACCGAGAAAATTGATTTTTTAATACGACGCAACCCAAGCGAACAAGAACCAGGTTTTATGACTAAAATAGCTATAGGCAAACATAATCGGGATACGCATAATAAGGGCGAAGGGTGACTATTGGAGGTGCAGAGTGTAGTGGGGTGAGTGGGTGGAGACACACATCGTACAAGCAAATGCGATGTATTTTTTGCATATAATCGAGATTTTTATCATAGTTTCAAGTTTTTTTTTATTTCTCAGTAAGATGAAAGGTAACATTTCGACGAAGCAGTATGTTAATTCGACAAAGCATACAATGGAGTTTAGTCCCACCGATGGCTAGTATTATGCCAAAAACGGGTGGAAAAGCATTTACCTTGCCTTCGTTTGCCAATGATTTGGTTATTGGGTGCCCTAAGAACCTTCAAATCACCTGCTTTGCACAGCTTGCACGGTTTGAAGTGCGAGGCAAGATCTCGAGGTAAACGAGTGTGCGTTTAAAGAAACATGTTAGGCAACAAGGACGCGGGTGGGGTATTGAGGACCCAAAGGTTGCGCTCTGGAATCAGTCCTGGTGATTAGCACAGAGGAAGCATTGTCACACCCCCTAGTTTATACCAATGCCACCATTCACATTCAGGGGTTTTTACACACCCAAGCGTCAAGGTGCTAGAGAAGAACACGTGCCTACTGATAAAAGTGACATCCAAACTTTTCACTTGAACGTAATGGACAAATTCAGGAAAAAATTAATTGGCCGTCAAAATCCGACTTTTTATGCAAAAATAGTTTACTAACAACTGTTAGGTACAGATACTCTGGGGTAAAGGCAGATTCTAACAAGTATCTAAGGCCTTATTGTTAGGGTAGCCGCTATGTCCTTATTAACACATGAATTCATTCGAATTAACAACTACTAACTGACAATTATACAGAAATAACACTAAAAATTATGCAATGTGAGTGCTTAGGACAGAAAACACTTGGATAAGATAGAAGAGGGAAATCGAGAGGAAAGTTACGATTCTGTTGTGAAGAGTGAATCGGCCTGTTGCATTTGCTGAAGTGGCTAGTTGCAACACTTTTAAGGTTCTACAAACAACATGAATACGAAAGCAACCCAGTTATCCTTAACACTCATTGCCTACACTATTTGGAGGGGTAAGAATTTCATCTACTTAAGCAGCCTCAGTTGAATGTGCCGGCGCAAAACATTCAGTGATATAAGCCGTCCTCGAGCATTAAATAAAGAACTTTGTGTAGGTCGTGAAACAATGAAGAATAGAAGCAAGAAAATAAATTATAACCTCTGAACGCCTCTCCCGTTGCATCGTATTTCCACGTCCATGTTGAGTGGCGGAGATGCAGACGAGATGGGAGGAGGAGGTGGACTGGTGGGTGGAGGAGGAGGGATAAGGAGGGGTGGGACAGCACACTTTTCTACTTCTTCGTCTTCCAAGTCCGGGGGGAGCTCGATAGCATAGAGACTGGAGAGACCGGGGAGGTGGGAGTTGGCCAAACCATCATTATGAAGACGTTGCTTGGCGTAGGCCAATTTGAAGGCGTCCCCGATTATTGCATTTAGCTCCTCTGCCTGAGTGGATAACGTCGGAAATAGACATTGTGAATAAAAGTGGCTCAGTTGGGCGTACGGGCACCTCATAAATCTAATCGGGTCTATTGAAATATGGTGATTCAGATATATGCTGGGTGCCACCAGACATGGCTAAAAATGATGCCTCTGGCACTCTAGTGTGGCCACAAACACTTAGCAGATTCCTAGAGGCCAATTAATGTAAGCAGCGGAGTGGCCACGTGACCGTCACACCTCCCCAAACAATAGTAACATCATCGCAGATGTATTATATGGCGCCACTTAGAAGTTTTTGATTTAGACCATGACCGACTGCGACTAGAAATCCGGTAATTAATCAAAACCATCTTTTCGGATGATGCGTTTCAGGATAATGCTATAGAAAGGAATAAAAACTGTCCAAATGACCGGAAAGATGCTACAACACATTTCTCTTAGGTCGGCTTATGAGTATTGGGACATAAAAGTCAAAGACTGTTACCACCGACTTCCACAATACTGAATGAATCAATTTCAACGCAATCGGCACTGTCAAAAAATGATGTGTGTGTGTGTGTGTGTACTATCAAGCTATTACCCGGGGAGATTTACTGACAACATGCAAAGGAGCCTACAAGTGATGTTCATGGACAAACGACAGGGCAGATGAAATGACGATCAAAGCAAAAACATTTAAAATGCGCTTTGACTTCGTTGAGAGGTAGGGTGATGAAATAAAAAAAAACGGTACCGAAATAGGCAGAAATATCGGTACGGCGAATCAAGATCGATGAATAAACGTATAAAGATACTCTGGGTAAAGTGAGATGAGTTAAGCACCAATTAAAAATCAACTAAAACATGCGGTGATGTGGGTAAACCAAAATAACAACCTGTACTAACTGAAGTGCAGCAACTTATGAAGTCGAACCAACAGGAGCCTTATTGAGGGTGAGAGTAAAACAATGAGTGTTGGGCCGATTTGTCACAGCTCACCAGCACTTTCTGCAGTGACAAATGGATTATTGATGGGGCAAATGATTAAAAATAGGTGCACGGATGAAAAGACGGAGGGCTACAATACATGATGCATTCATTCTTACATAACTATCTGCATAGTGCTAGTTTCACCATAAGAATCGCTACTGGGAAAGTGGATTCAGCAAGTTGAGCAGTAAGTTTGAAAGATTACAAATAACCACTTCATACGATCAATTGTTTGAGGGAGTTCCCAAGGAAACCTTGTGGATAAGCTAAACAGTACTTCTAGGACACCCAGAGGTTGAGGACCAAGGAAAGTCCAACAGGTAGCCAAATTCATGAACTGGGAAACCGAGTTGAGAAACAGAATGACTAAGGCGTAAGCAACTCATTCACATGGAGTGAAAGAGGACAGGAAACGATGGCTTGGTCGACACTTGCACTTAAACTATTACAGCAACAGATCAAAGGAGGGCACCCGCAACAGGTACCGAAATCTTAAACTTTCACCAATAACAGAGGGATATACATGTGATGATCACCAGACAAAATTTTGACCCCGCTAACACACACTGCGTCACAGGCCATACCACCTTATTCCATGCTAGGAATGCAATAAAATGTCAAGCAAAAGACCGCAAATTACGCAAAGTGTACAGGCACAAACTGTATCCTATGTAATGCGCCAATATTAATAAAGAAAAACATGAGCAAGCATCCAGGAGTGCAAGACCATTTCTACATGTCGTAAAGCCCCATTTCAAAAAATTGCATCCCACATATTCACAGCAGCGCAGAATACAATTCAACCATGGAGCATAGTTTTTTGGTCACAAAAACGTCCCCAACGACGCCGGGTCAATGCAAACGAGTGGGCCTTTGCAGCCTGAAGGTGCAAAATCACGCAACCGAAAGCTAATGAAGTGGCGACTGATGTAGTCCGCTTACAGAGGTGCCAGACAATACCAGGATAATGAATCACCCGATGCGTATCCGCGTGTCCACATAGACGGAAAAAGCTTAGGATTTTAGACTGCAAGACTTGTGAAAAACTTACTCTCAAATCGAAAATGATGCGAAATACAAGGAACTATAAAGTAAAGGGATAGGCTGTTCATGAGGAAATTGCATGTTGATAGATTTCAATCTCGACCGCAAAAAAAAAACAAAATAAATCATGGGCAAACAACTGGCAATGTAATGCATTAATCAGGTGTCCCATGGACCTACTAAACTAGCAGAATGCAACCAAAATGACTCCGAAGGAACACATTCCATAGGCAAGAATGACGTAGGAAAATGGCCAGACCTGGCAAATTCTAAAAAGGATCCATGACCACCAGCAGAGGTTGATGTAACTGCGACACATCAAGCAAAGAATCACCAAAATTTCGGGTACAAATGAATCGATGAATCACCACAAAGCACACGCACGCTCCCAAAAAAGAAACGCAGAACTAAACCAGTAAGGACTCCGAAGTCCACATATCCATTTTTTATTATTAAAAAAAGATCCACATCAAGCGAATCTTATTTGCGTCTTTAGGGTAGGACTTGATAAATTAGCAGCACTTAAAAAAAGCAAAAAAAGCATTTAAAAATGTACCCGTCCTCACTACGTGGGTGAAGGACTTTTATCAGAATAAGGTGATGGTTATTGTTCAAATTTCAGGCAGATATCATGCCCTCACATGGCAATTGCGCACAAGTATAAACAGATAAGAGAAAGAAGTGAAGTAAAACCAAGCGATTTAAACAAAAGACAAAATTTTGAATTCAATAAAAGCAAATGAGTTTGACAAATATCGTGCATTTACGGGTTGACAGGAGATTGATGCATTTGGGATCTTGACCGCCGTTGAAATCACTATGAGAGCACGGTTCAAACACACTGTTACTGGGAGTTGGAGGCAGTAAATAGCAACATTAATTGGGGAGCCTTCATGGACGTACACTCAGCCGCGAGAACCCCAACGCTGATTAACAGCGACACTCAACTGACACAAATCTCGGCCACCACTTCTCGAATTAATATCAGCCAGTATCTTCTCAAGTGCAGCTCTAGAACGGGTTCTACTGAGCCAGTATCTGGTGGAATCGGGAGGAAAGGATGATATGAGAGGGATCTAGCAAATGGCTACTTTTTTTCCACTTTTGCTCTTTAATTCTCCTGTCCTTGTTTAAGTTGCCGCAACGATGCGAAACTTGGCTAGTAGCCAAAACTGCAGTTTTGCCACTTTGAAAGAGAACTGGTACGAGTGGCGAAACATTTAGATGGACTCAAGTTTTTGGCAATGGTTGCATCATGGTTTGGGCAAACGAAGGACTGAGCTGGGAGTAAGCTCAGAGCTTAAGCTAAACGCCCGATGCCATTAAGTGCGAAATGTCTCGATGGGGACACCATCTGACTTTGGAGGGTACAAAAGTTGTAAAAGGTGTTGCTTAGTAAACAGCAGAAACCCCCTAAACAAAAAAACCAACACATTTCACAAAGCTAGATTCAACACTAATTCCTTGAAAGCACAAATTCAGTATTTACAAAGGCAACAATTACATGAAGTTATTGACCTAACAACCCAGAAAATGTCTTGAACGAGAATGAAAGCAAAAAAACCTAACGTGGCAAATTATCACAGTGCTCGAAATTAAAACCTACTTAACACAGAGCTCAGTCCATTTTAAATGCAAAACGAATTCTATTAAATTTAAGGTCCAAATAAGTTGAAAACGAAATAAATACATTTGGAGAAAAATACGCCGATTTCATAATGATTGTAAGGCGGTGCTAAAATTTCCGAGCCATAGCATCAAGACAATGTACAACACTGAACACAAAATGGGTGTTTACATGAACAATTAAGTGATCAAGGTGATGATATCGCATTCCTCTAATAGCGCAATTGTGAAAATGTGAGCCTCAGTCATGGCACAGTTTTAAGATATGGTAGGATTTCTAATTAGGCCATTTTTAATATGTTCTGTCTCATCCAAATTTAAGCTTATTTTGCTTACTGGAATTCAGCGAAAAAGCCCAAAAAAATAATGGAAGTGTACAGTTCTACTAATTTCTATATTAAAAGCGTTGGTTTGAGTAAAATGTAATGTTTCAAACACAGCCACAAAATGGCATTCCATATTTTGATAGTATAAGCGTAGTTTCAAGGTAGGAACTGATGGAAAAAAGGATTTAGGTGTAACAAAAAGCAGAGACATGGTTGATGCACCAAAAATTACAAAATTCGAAGTTAATTGCTGGGGAAAAATTGATAACCCAACTGGAAAACAACAGAAAAACGTGGTTAAAATGAAGTTTATGAAACAGACAAAAAAATTAAATGTCTTCAAATACTAATGAATCAAGAGTTAGAATAATAAATGAAAAAATAACTGATTAAGTGAACTTACTCGGTATGGGGTTTCCGTGGAAAATATATGGCAATATTGGCAAGGTGTTTCGCTGTTTGCCTCCCTGGCCAAAAATGCAAATTTCGAGGAATACGGATCACAGGTTGCGTATGATATGCGTCGCAACGCATGTGCCATATAAATTATCTAACTGTTAAGCCATAAAATAAATTACTTTGCAATCCGGGTCGCAAACTTTAACACCAGAAGTTGATATGCAAAGCATGACTGGCTTGAAAAACGAAAATGACTAGAAATTTGACAGTCATAATTTTACACTTACTTGAAGAACTTCCAATTTATTCCGAACAAAAGCAGCACGTGACAACTTATCAGCATCGAAAGGAATTGAACCGAGGTACTAAAGAAATTACATAACAGGGATCAACTACCAGGGCTGGTCGGAAAATAATTTCAAGAGGCATGACTTCGGATAAGGTTGGTTAGTGGCAATTTAACTCAATCATCGCATAACCCAAACTGCAACACAAAAGAAGACCCAGCATAGAGAGTAAGCTGATTAGGATTCTAAAACAAATTTGAGTGATCAGGGAACTGAGACAAACACTGGGACAAACTTGATGTACACGAGAAAAGATAAATGCAATAGAATAATTACTATTGGCCCGGATCGAGTACACACGACAACAATCAGTGGTAGCAAGTAAAAACAAATGCAAAGAATAAAAGGAGTAGATAGGTTGAGCTTAGAATCCGCGATCAGTGTGCCAGACTATTCTAGATGGAGGACCTAAAAAAAACAAGCATCATATTACCAGAGACTACTACGTAAGTGCCGTTTCTGGGTAAATACAACTAAGTGACAACAGTGCTTACAAATCCTATGCATCATAATTGAAAAATTCTTCTAGATCTGTTGCTTTACGATTACGTTTCCCAAAAGTTGGCTAATCTACCTAGTATAAATAAAGAAAATAACACAAAATTGGGATTCGAAATTAAATAAATAGCTGTAATTTACCCTGTGACAAACACTGAACAACAGGATTATGTAAAAAAAGTATAGTGCATGCAGACAATAGCAATGCTGTTGTTTAGGCAGAACATTTGACAACAAATCCACCACAGCCCAGGCTTGAAAACCTACATGGTATTCGCACAGGACATCTGGACGCTAACATCGAATTCACTCCGCCAGTTTATTTAAACGACGTCAAAAACTAAACAGCAAGAAAATCATTGCACTACTGGTGTCAATCCTAACCCAAGTAGAATCACATCAAACTACCGCAATTATGGACACTGACAGCCAATTGCGACGAAGATAGTTATGAAGACCTTGCCGATTCGAGCTTGTTTTAGTAATCTGAATATCCATCCCTAATTTCTGATATTTTATGAGGTTTGGATGACCAAACGCTACAAATTTCACAATTGATTCAACATATAGGTATTATTTCTGCTCTTGATATATATGCGCATTTTCGTAGACTAAAATGTTTAACAGCGAACCAAAAGAGTGTTTTTTTCTAAATGAAACTAGTCAGGATATGAATTTTTTGTAGTACATTGCATTTCAGAAATGGTGTAGCTCAGTGATAAAAGTTAATAGTTTGATAATAGGCATTGGCAACGTGAGAACGTCGTGTACTAACGTAGAGACCAAAATTACAAATGAGCTTTTCAGAACGCTGCAATAACTGCTGCCTAAACTACTGATATTTTTTCTGACTTATTTTATCAAAATTGTTGGCATATGCCTTCATCAGCCGTCTTTTTTCAGTCTGCCGTCGATCACCCTTCCCTGTCACGAATTAATCTATTCAAACATTCAATTTTTAACTGTGTAATCTGAACGCTTGTAGCAATCAAGCAATTTGTTGAACTTAGGTGAGTTTGTTGCGTCTAATAGGCTATTTTAAATACACAAATGACACAACGCTTAAGGCTACAGAGGGCATGAAACAAAACTGAATGCTCATCAGTGGTCTTTTACATACTCTAAGTTACCTGCATATTCTTAATGCCCACATGTATGTTCGATGTCTTTGAGTGATTTCAATACAAACCGTGATTTGTATAAGGCTATTTATGTTAAAAAAGAATATTTGTCATGCCGTATGCAAATAAGAGGACAAAACATTTCCGTGAACTGACATAATAAAATGAGAGGTGCACAACAAATTAGATTTACTTTTTACAAAACGTTATTGTACATAGTCCCGTCATAAGCATGAGCTGAATTCAGGATTCAATAGCTAGCTTTTATCCATAATTTTGTAACAAATGTAAGAAAAACTTGTGTTGAGAGTATTCATACCTGTCTTGGATTAGGCGGAAAAATATTGGGAACATCAAACATTTATCTACGTTGCGTGAAAGAAGACGCATTGCTCCACATAATATCATTTTTGTGTGCGAGCAAATGTAAGGAATCTTGAATAACAGGTTCACAAGCAGCATTCATACAAAACTAGGGGGCAGATTTTACATACATTAATGAATAAAGACTTCTGCAGTGGTCGAATCCGACCCTTCTAAAATGTATAATTATACGAAAGAACTCTGACACTCATCTTGTATTTAGGCTCACGCAAAATGTGGAAAATAAAGCGAAGTGAATTCGTCTGCAATTATTCATTAAATTGCATCTAGATGCAACCGAAAAGCGATATTTGTTGCTTTAAGCTAAAGTGAATGCATTTACACTGGCTACGTACACAGTACTTTGACATGAGATGAAGAAGTTTTTTTAATTTCAAACCGGAAATTAATTTATTTGACTTGTTGGCAATTCCAGCAATAGCAGCTTGTCAAAAGTAGTTTGCAACATTTTCGCAGCATTTATAAATAGCAAAACTGTAGAAGAATTTTAGATTCACAGTATCAAAATCGAATTTATTACGGTGCACCAGTGCTACCTCGATTGATATTTAACAATAAATTATGCAACCTTTTTATAAATTTTATTGATATATTAATGCAATGATAGCAAGGCTAATTTCATGATGTCCTTTGTATTTTGGCGGAGCCTTTCTGGCATAGATGTGTTTATATTTGTGGGTAAATCAGCGCGTTTTGTGTGTTTGACGTATTGGTTGCTTCACTATTTGCAGTTGGGAATTAAATACTTAATATAATAGTATCTTGTAGTAGGTTAAGCATGACTGATAAGGCTTTTACCACTGGTACTGATGTTAATGATTTTACAGTTGTATGCGATTTGCATAATCTGTATTTAAAACCGATATGTAAAGTTCATATAACTGTTCAAATTTCTGGTTTAAGTTGTATTGGATCCCAAGGCAGGTGCTTATCCACGTGGGAAGTTTCCGAGAAGCTGCGGCAGCTGTGTCCATCTCTCCTATCACCTCCTACCCAGTTAAAAGTAACAGGAGCCACTGTTGAGTTTGTTCGGTTTGTTGTGGAACTCGACTCGAAAGCAGATGTCAAAAGAGTGATCAAAGCCGCTGATAGCCAGGTATTAAGTACTGGATTGGCTTTAATGTTTGGTGTCTTGTGTACTTGTACGCTTGCGTTTCCTTTTTCCCAATTCTTAGTGTACACTAATAATGACTAACTAATGTTTTATGCGTCAATAACTGCTTACATCGAGCCTGAAACAGTCTAGGTTTTGTTAGTTGTCTTTCTATGTTTACGCATACCTGCTATTGTTTGCTCATTGATGTATTCGATTTAAGTGTTTAAGTAGTAGGTATGAAAGTGCCATAACTGGACAAAACAGATCCTATTAATGCAGCATCTCTTCATAATGCTTTTTTCTGAGATACCTGTGTTGCCTGCACTTTTGCATGGAGTTATAATTACTAAGTCATCTTCATTACAACGCATTTATCCCGTTTCTGGTCCAATGTGTGTGGACAAGATTTTGCCCTTTTTGCACATTAGCGAATCAAGCTCAGCGGCTTTCCTCAAGCCCTGCGAGTTCGTGCAGGAGAGGCACCAATCGACTGTCCTCGGAAACACGATTGGGATGCATTTTTCAGAGACGCGAGAGACATGGACGAACTCCTTCCCGGCGAAAGACCCGACACTGTCGTCGTTTCAAAGTTGCCAGTTCGTTGGTTCGCCAAACCTGGTAGCTCCTCCAAGTTGTGGCCAGACCCCAAGGTTGTAGAAGAGGTGTTTCAGGTATCCTATCGCACTCTGTTTTTTACTTCATATATTCTTGAAATCGGCATACGCAATCTTTTTAGATTTTTGGTAAAATTCGGTGTATCGACATTCCCATGTTGGACCCCTGTCAGAATCCTCAGCTTTTACCGAAACTAGGCCTGTCGGTAGGCATTGCCAATGCCTATCTTGCAGAATTCAATCGTACTTTTATGGAAGAACAGGATTCAGTTATTACATATAACAACAACGGTTTTGGCAAGATCACTCCATCTTCAGTCAAACCATTGGTTTTGGGTGAGGATTCACAAACGACAAATGACTCCTCTTCATTATCATTCACTGCATACATTCAGTATGCGGAATATGCAGGTTTTGCTGCAGCTATGGAGGCGTTACGAGGCAAAAAATTAGTTCATATTCCTCCCGGTAAAAAATGCACGGAATCACCGTGCTTCTCTGCAGAGATCACAGTGAGTTTGGTTCATTCTGTGTTGTTTCAAGTTGATGCTGTGCACTGTAATGAATTGGGAACCGTAATTTGGAATTAGAGAAAATTTGAATTTTTGGACTACTTAATATCTTGAGCGTTTTTCTCGCTGTATTATAGGAACAAATTTTGTGAACCTGTTCATCGGTTACTAATTCCTGCAAGTTAAGAAAATGCATTGTTACATTATTGAGAATGACTTCCTAGAATTCAATTAATGAGTTAACAGATCATGCATTCAATTGCTGAAATGTGACAACTTATTGTTGTTCATTCACTTGCCCTTCTCACTATCACACTTTGTCGCTATTGAAGACAGTCAACCTGCCATAACTTCGAGGTTTCCCGTTTTTAAACGCAAAATTGTATATAACCTTCTGGTGTAAATTGTACTACTTCACGTTAATTGGACCAACAGCCCCAATTCGAATTAAAGCGTTTGAATAAGTGCCTAACACTTCTTCATCTGAACATTGTTTAAATGTCAATTAATTTTTTGATGACCCAAGCCTAATTTTTTAAAATATAGCCTATTGATCTTCCTTCCTATGAACATAATTTTGTTTTTTTTCAAATCAAGATTGATTTCAACCGGTGCAAGCACTTGCGTTGCAATAAGAAGCTCCCAGTTACAGTTGCACTTTGCTAAGACATGTTTAATAAAGCTGATGAGGATAGATATGACTTTTCCTTAATCGTCAGCCGTTAATTACGCGGACATCATTCTGTCCTCTATGTTAAGACGACCACATCGTTGTCATCATCAACGGTTTATCCCGTTCAGAAAGCTATAATGTGGACCAAAGATCACATAAAGCGATAATCAAACTGATTTGATTATCACAGGAAAATGTTTTTTGATGACTCTGGCTTAAAAATTTCATTGCAGTCTGGTACTTAACCTTATTGTCAATTTACTCATGTTTTGTGACCAAGATTGATTTTGACCGGAGCAAGCACTTATCGGACTATGAGGTCCGTCGAAGACAAGCAGCACGGGCAAGGCTTGAAGTTGGTGCTGAGGAGGAACGAGAAAAACGCAAGGCAATGGAGGCGAGACGTGCGCGGGCCGAACGAGAGGCCCAGGAATTGGCCGCAGCTCAGCTCGCCGCTGAGAGGGCCGAGGAAGAGGCGCGCAGGCTTGCTAGGCGCGAAAAGAGGCGTCTCAAGGTTGGTTCTCATGCTTAACTCGCTAGATGACTGTAGGAAAGAATTGTTGTGTGGCTAGCGGTTTCGCTCAACTTCCAAATTCTAACTGTTTCGAGTCGGACATACCAACATCAATGTGGTAAAATGCACCTTTCATTGAAACGCACAGGAATGGTTGGAATAGGGTCATCGACATGGTGTAAATTCATGGTCAGTTAAGCTTCTCAATGGATTGTTTATGGTCAAACGGGTAAAAGGTTCTACCTTCTTCGGTAGTCATGGAAAGTCAGTTCAGGATAACTATAACTTCATTTTCCAAAACTATTTCGGCCCATAGGGGTCCGTAGTGTTCAAGTAACATGGGTCAACTGAGTTGAGTATGGCTGGCTCCATCAGTACAGGATTAGTGACTAAGGTACTGATTTAAGATCGTGATTTTTGAAAAAAAACGCTAGAATTTTCAAATGCATTAAATTATACCTGTGTTTGAATACTCAGATGAAGCAAACGTGGTGATGATCCGAATCGAGGCGTATTAAACTAAAGAAACATCGTAAAGAGATATGTACTCAAACCTAAATATCTTGAGTTCTTTCTTGTTCACTTTTGACCATTTTGTTATTCGGGGATGCGCATTGTCTGCCAGAAGCGATACATTTAACGCGTATATACTATAAGCAGAAATAAAATTCGTGTTGAGATAATGTTGGAAATTGTAACGATTGGCTATCATAAGGTACTGGGATTCAGATATTCAGCTTACTAAAACAAGTTCGAATCGGCAGGGTCTTAGCTACTTTCTTCATTGTTTTATTGTCAATATTTCCGTTTGGAACTGATGATAAATGTTATGAGATTGAAGTAGGTGATAACGGGGGATGCACACCTTATATCCCCCCAGATTTACTAACCTGCTTTCGCTGAATATGTGCTTCTATTCCTTCTAAGGCGGAAGAGCGTTACTTGCGCAAAAGAGATGCCCTAATGCGAAGAAAATTCCTCCTTGAAAACCGTCGAGCTCTCCTTGCAACTCGAAGGGCAACTGCTATTCGGTTGATGTCGGCGCTGCTGCATTTGGTTTCGGTAAAATTTCATTCAGACCTGCCAAGGCATGCTGTCTTGATTCGGGTTGTCTAAATTCCACTTTGCTGTTAAAAGGGTGTTCCGTTGTTCATTTGTTCCTGTCGCTAAGCCACTTCTACTTGTCAGGCAAATGTGACTTACACGAGTGTGAACTTAGCAGGTTGTATTGGCCGATTGAGCCTTTTTCTTGCCAATTAGGATTCCTTTGCTCACGCGAACTTCTGTTGAGCTTAATTTTGTTCTATATTTATCTTTCCAACTTTCATTGCTCGTTGAACTGGTTTCATTTGCAGAAACGGTTCCAGGAGGAGAACAAATGGGCTGCCAAGTGCGCTGAAGATCAGGAACTAGTCCGGACGAATAGTATAGCCACTCAGACGACAGGGAAGTTTTTTTCGGAAAAAAATGTAAGGCCACTTTCTATTAAGGCTAGTTACTCATTGGCTAATGAAGAAGTGCACATTTAAGACCTACAAGATAAATCTCCGACGAAGCCTTGTTCCCTGGTCTTTTAGTGCAAATAAACTTTAATGTAAAACACGAAAATTCGGCTTAAGAGGCTTGACTTTTTTACGTATGTTCGCCCATTTTTCTTCCTATGCAGAAGTCGCCCCTCGAACGAAAGCCAAGACAGGCCTTTGGAGACGATGGACCCATGAGGGAAGTCGATGCGGAAAAGATGCGTCAGAGTCTGTTAGAAAAACGAGAGCAACAGCTCCGACAGAAACTTCTTTCAGTAAGCCCCTGAATCGATTTATCGGGTGACACTTTGGCATATAGATTTTAACTGCCCACAGAAGGTCATGAGTTATGGAACATGCAAATCCCCAACGGTGCATTTTTGCCTGAACTGTCGGAAAAGAACCAAATCAATTATTACTTGTATCTGATAGCCTCACGTAACGCGAATGGAACTTAAATCTGCATATCCAATGTATTTACTAGTCAGTAACCAAAATCTTCTATTACTTTGTCTTCATCATCTACTTTTCTCCTCTAATGAAGCGTGGTCTTGCAACCGATCCAATTTGTCTAGTAACTCACATCTTTTGCTCATTTTAGCGTAGAATTTCTGCCAGCGGATGCAAACCTGGATAGAACCTGTACATCACGAACTCCTATGCATTTTTCCATGTAAAATATATCATTGTATCATGCGTTTCTCCTCCTATTAGAACTTGCACACAGCAAGTTCGGGTTGCACGTCTCATTGCCGTGACGCTGACGCCGGCTCATGGTCAAGTTCACTCCTCGTAAATTGAATGTGGAGCGTAAAATTTAACTTGATGCGAACGATAGCAATTCGACGAGGTAAAGTAATCAAACGTACTTTCTCCAGGGCAGTTTGGCTATGACAGTGAAATAACGTAATTTTTGGAGCACGGTAAATATTCCGAGTGCATTGACGTTGAATTTTTTTCTCAGATTTTTTAAGAACAGGTAAGCGCTTGAGAGTAATGAGGAAATGGTCAGAGCTACTAACAAGGTTTTTCATTCATTTCATCAGCACATCCCACCACTACACTTCCGCTGTGTGTGTGTGTGATAATCGTAATCTGTTTTTGGTCAAAATAAAGATACCTAACCCTTGGAGGACCCGCCCACGTGTGACCTAGGTTAACAGAATTTCGGTGGAAATGTGGTCCATTTACCTATGATGTTGTGTGCTCGGTTATTTTGTCTGGTCACTCATGCACTGGGCCGCCAAATGCCCAAGCCTCCACTCTCCTCTAATAGCGATTGACTGATTCAACTTGGTGGACGCCCTTGAAGTTGCTGCTCGTAATGATAGCACTTGAAGCAAAGACAAGCCCTGCCCGACTGTGTAGTTTTTGATCGCTCGTGTTCAATTCCGTCCCAAGTCAAAGAGGTCGCGACGTGCTATGCGCTAGCCTGTCCGCTTCAACAGTATTACCGGCTTCGCTAGTCGTAACTATTACTGTAACCAAAATGCATTTTTATGCATTGTGTAGACGAGTTAAGTTACTAAATTCCGGAACGTCATTTTTGAATGGCTGGCGGGGTTCAACAGTCCCTTAATGAAGTGCAGCGAAACCAGGTGTACCCAGCCTGTCCATCGTCCCAAGAGACGTCTGTGGAGCAAAACCGTAAAGCTTTCAGTTTCTTAGATACTTTATGTACAGGAGAAGCGAGAAGGCAACCTGAAGTAGGAGTATGCTATAGGCGAACGCAACACATGCACAGCATCTCGTGAGGCAAATGTATTTTAATCGGATCCACCAATAAGTGAATTGAACCAATCCTCAGTTTGCATTGGGGCACGAGTTGCGCGCCAAAACGCGAGCTCGGTAGGTTAATCAAACAACCTTTTCGGTGAGGTTGCCTAACTTCGAAGTAAGCCTTAATAAAGTTTACAACGCCAGATAACTAGTCGCTAGGCCTCATTACGCTAAACCGTGATAATGACGGTGGTAAAGCTGCGTAGTTGCTTTGGCAGTGCTATTGCATTGAACCACACCGCTTCGAAAGGCAATCCATATGTAAGTGCACCGACCAAGTTTTACGTCTACAAGGTACAGACCCCACACCCCCGAGTCAAAAGACAGAACAGAACTACAACCGTCAGCTGGATTCCACATTGTCAAGTGAGAACTACCACAACTCAACCAATTGGCCAGCAATAAGGCCGCAGATGATTCAAGAAAAGTTGAAAAGGTACAAATCGGAACCCTGTCATGGTAACTAAGGCGGAACAACATCCAGCAAGCAAAACGTTGCATCCTACAATGTCTAGGAGCCTCAGTGCTTTTAAAAGGGTAATCACCAACGGATGGCGCCTAAAGCCACAATATTTTCAAGTCAACAAGAAGCAACCGGTAATCAAATCTGAATTCTTTATAAACTCATACGAATACAACCGATACAAAGAAGCAGGGGGCAGGTAAGTGGCAGAGGCGGTAAGAGGCTACTTGCAGCCGTGGAGCCACGCCACGTTCATAATATAAAGGCAAAGCTCGGATGGGCGTACCAGGCGCGGTCAGTACAACGCTGCCAAACAGGAGGAAAAGAGTGACTACCTTTACGTTGATGGGAAGTCCCCCTTATTGAGCGCTCACTCTAGGAAGAGGAAGCATTTACATGTGTAGACAAACGTACATGTACACAGTGTATTTACAAAAGGGTGATACAAATGGAAAATTCAGGTCTGTGTCGATCCCGGAGAAGTGATGAGCTGGTCCTCGTCTTCACTTGTTTTACCACACACAGAAACGGACGACAAGGCAGTCTTTGCTTCTTCGGATTGCGGGCTAGACTCCGATGCTAATTCATCTTCGTCACTTTCTTCGTCTGAGTAGTCGACAAGGCCAACTAATCCACCACCACTGGTGCCATCAGAAATTGCAGAGACTCCCGTCTACCATAAAATAACAAAAATCACAATTTTGCTGTTTCTAGTGTACCAGGAGTCAAAGTGGTTGCGGCCTGTTCAGCATAAAGCGCAGCACAAATCTAAAGGCAAGCTTAATTCAGTGGTGTCCGGCTATAGCAACCACCCGTTCCGTCAAGTATTTACTAATCGATACTTTCAATAAGTGAATCCATTTTTCCTCTTTTTATCAGCAGTGATTACTCTTGTAAATGCATATAACCTCTTTAGCGCTAACAGACCGAAGCTAATCAAGTGTGCTAAGCCTACATCGCAAAAGGAGCCGTAATACTCTAGACGGATGTTATCCCGAGTTTATTCATCATTCATTCACAAGTATCTCTGCATTTGACCGGACTTCACTAGAGCTACGAAACGAAGTCACACATACCAACTTTGTTCAGTTACAATTTAGTAATTGGATTGCGCAAATGAGCATCGCAAGTGTCTTGACAGTACTCACGTTCTGGTTCGCTTCCTGGAAAGTGTTCCTGACATCACCTTCGGTGTCACCAAAGTCATCCACGTGCTCATCAAGCAAGGGTCTTTTGGAATGTCTAGTAGGTGAAGTGTCTGCATCATCATTGCTACCACCGTCCTCGCTGCTTATACTAAATCGTTTTGCTGCCTGCCTCGGCGAAGGAAGAACCTTCTCTTCATCATCACCGGCTTCATTCCCTGTCACTCCCAGACATGTGGATTTGATGTGAATTGAGATCAAGGGATGCGAAGACAGCGTGGGGTGACGGCTAATGGGAGATTCGATATCGGGAGAAGATGAAGGAGGTATTAGCAAAGCGTATGGTGGAGTGGTGGTCGAACTAGGCGAATGGTGAAGCCCTTTGGGGGAGTCATTGCTCGGAGATGGGGGAGAGTTCGAGGTAGTGGATGAGGGAAAGATAAGAGGAGGGATGTTCTCGATAGAAATAGACGGGTTATGCGGTTGGGGTTGTGTGGTTGATATCTCGTCCTCCTCATCTTCGTCATCGTCCTGGTTGAACCACTGGTCCTCGTCGTCAAAGTCCGTCGTCCCACGTCCAAAACGAGAGGCAACTGACCCTCTCGGAGGCGGTCTACAAAATGCAGAAAAATTGTCGGAATTCCGAATCTAACAGAACCCAATTTTAGGTAACTGCACAACTTTTTAGAAGGTTTACTTCGACACGAACTTACAAGATGTTAACCCATGGCTCTGAGACGAGGTCACAGCATCACTCACATGTCAAATGAGTATTCGCTTTTGGGACCAATTTAAACAGACTAAAAAATTCATGGCCCTTCCACCGTTGATAAGCCCGTAGATTCCTTGGCGCAAATACTCTCCACAATATCCGACTCCACTTAGGTCTTGACGGCAATGACTGCGGTGACGGATATTACACGGAAAACTGACTAATATCGCATTTCAATTAGTTTCAACACAAGTTTTAAACTGACAAAATTCGGCGATGGATGAGCCTTGAAACCTCTTTTTGACAATAACCCGAGTCTTCAAGGACCTCTTGTTAAAAGACGATGCGATCCATTCTAACTAAGGACTATTTACTGACTGATTCGACGAGATCTTTACTACCGGTGCTATGCACTAGTAGAGATTACCTTTGATATTTCAGTACATCGACTACACACTCGGACACGTTTTGGGCATCATTTTTATTCCCAAAAATTATTCATTATGAAAGATGTCAAATGAAGTGCCCTGGAATCTACTCGCATACTGCAGATAGCGACTTTAAATTGGGAAAAATTGCACGAGGTTCTGCCCAAACCGTAATATGGACTAGAGACCTTGAGAGTGATAAGCTCAGAAATTAAAAACCGCCATTCCGATTAACTTCCGGTCCGTGATGCAGATGAAAGGATGTCTTTTGGCCTCAAACAATCCGAATCAAGTGACAATTCCACGAGCTTTACGTGGAATTTGTCGCGATTGAATGGTATGTATTGCTTTGTACGGTAGCTGAACATTTTACCACGAAATTTGTAATACTTGATGTTCAATATTCAACAATACCAAATTGTACACGCGATGTGAAAAAAAAAGCCGGCTAAATACAATAAAGCGGTTGACGAAATCAATCAGTGATGAAATTGGCAGAAATCAAACAGTAATTGTTTTTAATTTTACCCAAAGCGTTGAAGTACTAATACCAGTTGGCCGAGGCCGTGTTTCCAAGGTGGGGGTCGAAATCTCTATGCCCCTCCATTAAACTTATCAACTAACAATAAGAGTGAAATTAAAAGCACTGCACTAGGAATACTAATTCAGCCTCTTTAAATCAGTATTCACGACTAGTGTTTGAGATCACGTATGTCTACGTTTCATAAAACCAATTACAAAAAAGAACTGTTAAAATACTAAAAGATGACAGCGCTTGGTCACATGCCTATCTTAGAATGGTAATGCCATCTGACTAAAAACATTAGATCAAAACTAAGCATCGGGGGAGATATCAATTTGTGCAGCCGGAGCGTTGCAACGGTCTCTTTCTAAAGGGGCGGAAAATGACTTACAAGCTGGATGGAGTTTGTTGTCCGAAAATGCCAGACCCATCAGTCCGACTAGGCCGATTAGAAGCATCGAAGCGTTCCTTGAGTTTTTTAAAAGTATTTACATAAGTGATATCGCACAGGACGTCCCAGTATTCTTTTACGACATGATTAATGAGTGATGTTATATCCTCCATGTGCAGGTACTCAAACAATTCGATAATAGCAGAGTCGATCATGTTATATCGATGTCCATTAGCTGCAAACAGGTCAATCACTGGTTTGAAAAGGTTGTTTTTAATCAGATATCGATTGTAGAATTCTTCCTTCATCTGTACTACCTTTCGTAATAACCTTAATGCACCTCAAGCAAACGTCAGTATAACCACAAACTTACTCAGAACCAGGAACTTGTGTGTTGAACGTAATAGAACCAACACGCGCTTTACAAGGTCCCGGTGTAGACAATAGTTTTTCATATGATATGTGTGACTTTCGATGCAAAAAATCAGCAGTTCGAGAACATTACTCAGTACCAGCGCGCAGTGATAATTATCTAAGAGATCGAATTACAAAAAAACGAATACCATTGAGAGGAACTTCATGAATGGTATTTTCAAAAAGCGGCTTTGTTAATGTACCTATGCAACGCTTGTAGAAGAAGCTGAGAAATTCTGTCTTCTCACTCCGCTAATTAAAAAAAGAAGGTTGTTATTAAAGGCAACTCATACCAGAAGACACGGAACATACAGCAACTGCCAAGATTACAAACCTTGGTTCCATACCTCACTTACAATTTAGTTAGATGTGCAGGACGTCCCAAAATAATCACTTAACATCGATTATCATACTAGTGATTTATTCTGACGTCAGTATATTTTCAATTTCAATGGATGGACACTGATTTACGAAAAACAGAACTTTAAACAAAGACAGTGGCATTGCAGTCTGCCTTACTAAAGGCACACACCAAACAAACTGCATGGGAAGATTAAAGCTAGAAAACCGCAACGAAGCCTTTTCGAAGACAGGTATAAAAAAGACGCCTGGTTTTATAGGAAAGCGACCTGAAAAAAAATGCAATCAACTTACTCCAGCTGTGTTGTTCATATTGTCAGGGTCAATGAGAAATCGCAACATATAACTCAATTGATAGGCGTCACCCAGTTCAGGATCAGGGTCTTCTAGCAACTGCGTTATCATTAGATTTATAAGAATGTTTTCATCTCGACTCATTTTAGCGCTGTTCTTACACACATGTTCACGTATTACAGACGGTTGATTTTCAACAAACGCTTGAAGAACTTCCAAAGCAGCCGATTTAACATCATGATCATTGCAGGTAAGAAGTGTTTCCACAGTGGAAAGGGCCCCGTGAGCGGATAAGGTGTTGAGGAAATTTTCCTTTTGATCAGTTTGGACGGAAAGACTGCAAAACTCCTTTACAAAGAGAGCTAACTCACGTCGATGAGAATCAGATGTTTCTGGGGATTTAAGACAGGTAAACAACCGGAGCATACACTCATCGTCCTCCTGCAAGGCACTTATAATTTCCATTTTGTTAAGCGAAATAAACGACTTCAAGGCTGACATCGTATGATCGTCAAATAAACCGGGAGGGGGCAAGCAACAATCCTGTATGTATTGAACTCGGTATGTTTGGTGAATTTTGTTCACCAACTCTGAATTATGGAGTGGCAGTACCTCTTTAAAGTTAGCCTGATTTCGCAAAAAATCACGGTGGCGGGTTCGACCTGCTGGACTGTACTCCAAAATGCCTATTACATCCATGATCACGTCGTCCGAAAAAAGAGTCTCGTAAAGGATTTGCTTGTTGAAAAGGATTAACTGCCGGAATATTTCATATAAGTGGTGCAATGAAGTCATATCCTCCAAATCTTCTGCTTTATGGAAAAGGTCAATCAGCTGTCTGATGTAATTGTTGCGTTCAAAAGCCGTAACAAGACGCTCGCGTTTCTGAAGTGGATTTGGATGTGCACTTGTCAGCTCTGCAATTTCTTCCAGTCGTGCGAGTTCGCAAGGAGGAAGTTCAAATGCTTGAAGTGATTGGCTTGAGGTTATTGTATAAGCTTCAACATCATCAGTGTCATCTGATTCATCCACGACATCTTGAGTAATCTCAACAGAGGGGTCCTTGCCCTGTACGTTGCAAATCTTTTCCCAGATATCATCACAGCCGGCCTTCTCTTGAAATGAAAGAGCCAGGTCCATATTCTCACCTTCCGACCAGACAATAAGTGTTTCCTGCTGCTTTTGATAGGCGGTTTCCGGCTGGATTTTGGATTCCAGAAGACAAGACCCATCATTTTCCGAAATCACAACCAGAGCGATAGTGTTTTGTTCAGTGTAAAGTGCGGACACGTGACCTGTTCCCTTATCATCCCACTGGCGCTCATCATTCAGCATGTAGAGCTTTACTCGACGGCGCGTACTAGCCTCTGATGTCGTCATTGTAGCTAAAGATAACATGTGAGTGAGGCTTCTAAAGAGGTCCTTTGCGACAAACAACTGATATGTACTTTTGCATTATATGCCTAGGTATCCAAGAAAACTATGAGCATATTTTAAAAACCAACTAGAATCACGAGTCTTAAACAGTTTGCAGTAAAAGTGACGTGTCCTACACCGAACTTGTGATTTCATTCCAATTCACAGGGATTAGTATGCGTAGCAGGACACAGCAAACGGATCGCCGTATCGATTAAAGCTACAAGTGGAGGCGTAAACGAGGGGATACCAGAACCGCACGTACAATACATAAAATATTATGCATAGGCCATACGAAGGAATGTGAGCACCGGCACATAGATAACTCAGGAAATTGAAATACTAAACCGTTCGTTATGAGTAAGACAATTTATTCGAATATGTCGGGAACCTTTTGAAATTTCAGCGAAAATTAAATCACGCAAGGTGACTCAATGGTAACCCTGGGCAGTTTACGATTTGTAGAGTACTGCCAATCACACTCACCTATACGGAGGTAAGATATATTAGGGTGGTACCTACTCCGTCTCCAATAGGCGACACCATTTATCTAGTTAAGGTACATTAAAACAAGCAATTCGGCACATGCATAGGAGGTTGAGCTACGTCAGATAACTACCCAACATTCGATAACTTCATTTTTACGCAAAATATGTTAGTAGTATGTCGATTAAATCTTTTTCGTGATCTTAACTTAAGTCGTGACGCTTTCTTGGAGAAAATGCCAATCCAAAAAAGTAACGGCTTGATAATATTTAGGGTATTGATTATATGTAGTTATCGTCAGATGCTGCTTATTATATTAGTTTTATGTTTATACTGAAGAAAACACATACAATTATAGCTGTACTCGTCGAATGTTCCTTTTTTATTTCAGCAATGTCGTCAATGGCTTTGCGTACAATATGAAGTATGCAAAGATGTTACAATTTGGATTAATAATCATGACTTAGTTTAGTTTTTCATTGTGGAAGCTGCATTAAAATCGGCGATATTTTATAGCATATATTGTAAGGGCAAAGATAATCGTTTGGGTATGCACATAGATGTTTACGACATCGGCGAGAACCTCAACAAAACCAACCCCCAAGGTTTTAACACATCAGATGCATTATTAACGAACAACAATTAAAGCATCTATAAGGAATGAAAAAACTACACCATTTGGTATAACTACGAGATATTTTAACTTTTTTTTTATTTTTGGTTTAATGGAACACTGGTTCGAAACACACTGCTTGCTTCTGAAAAAATGAGATTTGCTGTATTTTTAAATAATGACCAAGTTTTCGAAGTATTACTTTACGTGTTTTCTGCTGTTGATAGTCCATGGTCTGCAGAAACATGCTGTTAAGAAAGCGTGCAATATTTTTATCCTGTCACACTTACCGGCATTACTTTAATTTTTGGCTATTTGGGCACATGAAATTGTAGTGAAGTTAAAGTATTACACTGATCCCGTTTCTTTTCATTTATTTTCCTATCGGATATTTAATACTATAGTATATTCGTGAATTAATTCCAAAATCTGTCATTGAATTCTTCTGAGACCTTCAAAACCACTTTGCTTACCATTATAATGTGCGTTGATACTGTTATATTAAAAAGAAGGGTAACAGGACAGGATCGGTTGACTTACATGTTCTTCTACTGGATGTCCTTTGATTGTCCGCGCAATCGCCTGTGGTAATCCTTTGTCTATATAACTTGGTGGTTTTTAAGAAAACCTGATTTTCTCGTAGGTATTAATATTTTGCAGTTTTGATTATTTTAGGCATTGCACATGCACTTTGTGTTTGTCCTTATTAGTTGGAAACTGCTGATTTGCCTTAAGGGCCATTATACATTTACCCACGGAGAAATGGTCGGGTCTCTGTAATGATTCCCATTTAGTATGGCCAATTTCAGCACAAAGTTTTGTGCGTCTTATTTATTATAGAATGACCAAGCCCTATTAGGAAAATGACTGGTGCAACAGAACAGGCTTTATTGACCAATCACAAGCCAGAGCCACAAGTCAGGCGCCTTCCTTCCGAGTCCACCACGCTGACGTCGCCGCTAATTATATACTTCACCCCAGTCGTGTCCTTTTCTGGTTGGCTGCTCATCATACTCCCATGCCATTGGAACGCAGAAAGACACACGATTACCTGAGGCCAGGTGGTTCAATATGTCTGCGCCCAAATCCGCAGCGGCACCACATCGCACACTGTTGAATACCCGAGCCATAATAGGAAAAACACCGGTACAACAGAACAGGTTTTATTGATCAATCAGAAGCCAGAGCCATGCGTCAGGCGCCTTCCATCCGAGTCCGCCACACTGGTCACGCGCCTCATTATATGCTCCTTAGTCGCGTCCTTCTCTGGTTGGCTGCTTATCTTCCTCGCATGCCATTGGAACGCAGAGAGACACAGGATTGGCTGCGGTCAGGTGGTCCCATATGTCTGCGCCCTATTCGTTCGCCACTGTAGAATACCCGAGCCCTAATAGGTAAAAGACCGGTACAACAGAACAGGCTTTATTGACCAATCAGAAGCCAG